AGATGGACCAGTCTGACTTGATCTTCTTACCTCCAGAACAATAAGATAAGAACTTAAGAGTTAAGCCACTAAATTTATGGTAATTTGTCACAGTGGGAACAGGAAATAAATATAGTCAAGAACAGTAACCCTTACCCTGGAACAATTGTGCCCCTTCAGGGGACACCTGGCAATGTCTGGAGACATTTTTGGTTGCCACAAACTCTGGGTGTGCAACTGGCCCTTGGGGGCAGGGCTGAGAGATGCTGAATGCACAGGACAGCCCCACAGCAAGGGACTGCGTGGCCAAACGTCAGCAGAGCTGAGGCTGAGAAACCCTGCTCAAGAATGAATCTTGTGGAATTCCAAGGAGCTTTTCCTGACCCACTCTCCCCACTTGCCTCTGTAAAAACAAAACTCCAAGCATACAAGACGGAGAAACTGGCTTACTCACTGATGAGAACAACAGCCTGCAGATGAACCCAAGAAGCTAAGTCAACATTCGCTCTGCTAAGGCTCATAAAAATGTCATTGCAGTACAGGGCACTTTGTTCATACAGAACTGCTATTTCATTGTTTTAAAAATCAGAACACATTTTAGAATACAAAGCACAAAATATGATAACTACAGGATCCAGTAACAAAATACACAAGAGAGCTTGGCTTTTAATTTTTTGTTGTTGTTGTTATCACTAATCTACAATTACATGAAGAACATTATGTTTACTAGGCTCCCCCCTTCACCAAGTCCCCCCCCCACAAACTCCATTACAGTCACTGTCCATCAGCATAGTAAGATGCTGTAGAATCACCACTTGTCTTCACTGTGCTGCACAGCCCTCCCCATGTACCCCCCTACATGCTAATTATACATGCTAATTGTAATGCTCCCTTTCTTTTCCCCCAGACCCCTTATTCCTCTCTTCCCACCCATCCTCCCCAGTCCCTTTCCCTTTGGTAACTGTTAGTCCATTCTTGGGTTCTGTGATTCTGCTGCTGTTTTGTTCCTTCAGTTTTTCTTTATTCTTATACTCCACATATGAGTGAAATCATTTGATACTTGTCTTTCTCCACCTGGCTTATTTCACTGTTGGCTTTTAATTTTTAATCATTTGCTGGGCACCCTTCTTATGTACACAGGACACTCTGTACTCCTGGCAGGTCAGACCAGGGATACAGCATGTCTCCCTTTTCAGGGGAACTCTGTTTATGGAGCTTCTCAGTGGCCAAACCATGTGAATGTCTGGAACAAAAGGGGCCGTGTCTCATTCCTCTCTAGCTCCTAGCGCAGAGCACAAAGCCTGGCACACATTGGGTCCTCAACAAATGCATGTTGCACGAATGAATGAGTAACTGGAGAAAAGTCGGTAATTTCTGCTGATATAATGGGCACAGCAGGCACTTGGCTGAAATCCTGAGTGGGAACACCTGGATCACAGGAAGGCCCTCACAAAGCACTCAAGATCAGTACCTAGCCCAACAAGGCTTTTGCAACGAACAGATGTGGATTCAAGTCCAGCTCTGCCATTACTAGCTGAGTGACGTGGGGCAAATTACTTAACTTCTCTGAACCTCAGCTTCTTCATCTATAAAATTCACTCATCCAACAACATGGAGCAGAGTGAGCTAGGTGGAGAAGAGGTTAGAGAGGTGGTCAGGGGCCAGAAAAAGTCCCTATGATATAGAAAGCAAGTACCCCACCAGGATTTGTGCACCCCTGCCCAACCAGGGAGTACATTTCCCAGCACCTTTTGCATCTAGGTGGGCCATATGACTGCATTCAGGCCAATGGGATGTAGGCAGAAGTAACTTAAGTTGCCTCCAGGCCCACTGGACAGCCCATTTTCCATGCCTCGATCAGCTTCCCCTCTACTGTTATCCAGCCCTGAGACACGTGGCCCAGGACAGATTCATAGAATTTCAGTATCACAAAGCACTTGCTCCAAATTCCTCTCTGTTCCTGGAGGACATGGGATACCCCTCCCTGGGCTTCAGACAAGCTGTGCTCTCTGTCTGGCACATGCCCTAGTCGGCCCTCACTACCTGGCCCCTGGCCAACTCCTCTGCTCGTCACTCAGGTCTCAGCTTAGATGTTACCTCCTCCAGAAAGCCTTCCTTAAACCCCAGGAAGTAGCCACTATTAGTTTCATCTTACAGATGAGGAAACTGAGGAACAGAGAGGTTAAGTGACTTGCTTAAAATCACATGGCTAATAATATGGGGGGCCATGGGGAGGGCTGTGCAAAAGAGAAGACAAGTAGTGATTCTACAACATCTTACTATGCTGATGGACAATGACTATAATGGGGTTTGTGGGGGGAACTTGGTGAAGGGGGGACCCTAGTAAACATAATATTCTTCATGTAATTGTAGACTAATGATAAGGACAAAAAAAAATCACATGGCTAGAAAGTTGGGGAGTTGGGGTTGAAGGCAGTGCAGGCTAAACCCAGGGCTTTCACTCACTCATCCCCAGTTAAACCAGCCCTTCCCAAGTGTGGTCCTGGGACCACCAGCAGCTGAGGTTTCACCTGGGAACCTGTTAGATGTTCAAATTCTCAGGGCCTTCTCATCCTACTAAATTAAACTCAGGGGTTTGGCCCAGCCATCAGTGTTTAAACGAGACCTCCAGGTGGTTCTCCTGTGCCCTAAAGTTCAAGAACCACTGGCCTAGATAAATTTTCTACACTTGAGCCACCCATTTTTCAGCCACTCCTGTGGAGTCCTTGTTAGGGCTAGAAAGCCTCACAGCTGAAGAACTGAACATGTCCACTTTCTAGCCATTTGAGATGTGTCTCTGGGTCTTCCACAGCCCTGGGACTTTGGGGACCCAGAGACTGTCATCACCCACTTCATCATCAGCGTGTTAGTGACTCGCTCCTTCCTTTGCTTGACGCCTTCTTGTTTGTACCCATCAGTCTTGGCTACAAGAGTTCCCCATGACGGTCATTACCATCACCTTTCAGAACATTCTCAGTTCAGTGGGGTAAGAGTTGCAGTTTCTTGGTCAGCAGAGCTGATCTCCCCAACACAAAAACATTCATTCCTTAATCAGTCCAGCCAGTCACTATTACCTTGCATGTAGCCCCGATCAACGGTTTCTGCCTCAGCTTTAACAATCAGACTAGAAAGAGTGAATCCCAGAGCCCAGGTTAAACAAACCCAAGTTTCCACTGCTGACCCTCTGCTTTCTCCACACTGCTTTCAGTGTCCAGCAACCAGATGCCAATTCTGCTGGACAAGACTTCTTCTTTGGGGAATCTGACCAGGGTGAGACAAGGGCCTAAAGACACCCTTCCCTAGGGAAACAGCCCAGCCAGATCACCCACAGGGGAAGGCCAAAACCAACAAGTCCCCTCTTACACCCACAGACCTTCCAAAGAGCTTACGAGAGCCCCATTCTCTCTTCAGTGGCCAGCCCGGCACCGTCAGGGGAGGGGGAAAGGAGAGCCGCTCCATCGCCTCTCAGAGGCACAGGCTCCTTCCGGCTTGCGACTCTGCCCTCCTCTAGGCCCCCACCGCCCTCCCCACTTGGCTGGTAAATGGGCAAGAGGGGAAGATTTTTAGGGTCCAGGCTTGAGACAGGCACATACAATTTCTGCTCCCATTCTATCAGCCAAGACTCAGTTATGTATCCCCCAGGTGACACCCCATGGGGGAAGAAGAGAATGTGGGTATTGGTGACCACATAATACATTTAAAATATTTAAAAAACAAATCAATGGTGGATCCTTAATCAGCCAGAAAGCAGTGTTTGGTCACAAAAAGCACAAAAGAAAAAAATTGTAAATCACAGAATGTGCACAATTGATCATATTTAAACTAAGACCATTTTGAGTGAAAATTAAGCCCTGACTTCCTGCCTCTCCGACCCCCTGAAGATAAGAACTCAGGACCCCAGCTCACCCCCTCTCTCTGAGAGGGAAAACAAGAAGACGGAGGATGGCAATCCCAACCACATCAGACTTGCACCTCACCAAGAAACTTTACTGTACTTAATAAAAACATGCACAAAGGAATGAATGCAAGGTACTTTGGAGGCCACCGAGAAGGAAGACACCTCTAAATCCTATGTCCTTCCACAGGTATCCTTTCCAGCTCAGCACAAACATCACCACCTCCAGGAAGCCTTCCTTGATAGCACCACACACACACTCTTCACACCGTGGGCGTCGTCAGTGTCCACCTGCTTAATCTGTATCCCCACACCAGTGCGTATTGCTTATAAGAGTCTGCTGCTAGACCACCCTGGGCCTCAGTCTCCTCCTCTGTAAAATCAGAGGGGTGCGCTATGTTGCTCAATTTTCTGGCTGAGAGGCCCCAAAGCAGTCAGCGCCCAAGGCCTAGGACCCAGAAGTCATGTTCCCAGAGAGCATCCCCACAAGGCAGAAGTAGCGGCCGCCTCAGGTGCCGCCTGTCACAGGGGCGCAGCTGGGCTGGTTTCCTGCAACTCCCTACGCGGGTACAGGAAGATCTGGGCCGGGATTTACCCCGGACGCCCCCGCCCCCGCGCCGCACATTAATGCCGGCCCCTTGGAGCACTTGTCAACCGAGCCTGCCAACACCCCGACTCCTGCAGCCGACAATGAAGCAAGGGCGTGTCTACACTGTCCTCGAGGTTCCGAGAATTCGGGCCTCTTGTTTAGGGGCCCGGAGTGGGGGTGCGGCTCCAGGCCCTGCAGGGGACAATCAAGCAATGCCGCCACCACCCTCTGCGGGCCCCCGAGGCACTCCAGGCGGAGGCCCCCAAACTGCCTCTCCCAGTCCACTGCGTGCCAAGTGTTTTCCTGACCGACACTGCCGTTAATCTACACGACTTCCCCATTTCACAGAAACCACCATTGAGCCCCGAAGAGTTTAAACCAGAGAAGAAGCGTCTCCCACACTATTTCCGCGCTGCCTCCGGCCCCACTGCCAAGCCCCAGACCCAGCGCACGCGGGGCGCCGGCTGCCCCGGGGCGCGCAGGCCTGCAGCGCCCGATCCCGGCCCCGCCAGCTGGCCAACCGAGGCCCGCACCTACCTCCCTCGGGCGGACAAGCGTTGCAGCCGCCGCCCACGGCCGCGAGGATCCAGAGAAGTTGGCAGAGGCTCGCGGCCCGGTGCTCCAGGGTGCAGAGCGGGCGGGCCCCCCGAGGGTGCCGGGGAGCGGCAAGCAGAGCGCGGGGGGCGCGCGGGGCCGCTGGAACGATCCCGGGGCGTTGGGGCGCGTGCCAGGGGCGCGAGAGCTGGAGCCCGTCAGCGAGCTGGAGCAGCGGCAGCGCAGGGCGTGCAGGCGTTGGGTCCGGGACGGAACGGAGCAGAGCTGGGCTGGGCTGGAGCCGGCGGCGGGGGCGGGGCTGCGGCAGGGCGGGCGCTCACGTGGCCGCTCCCCAGGGGCCGTCCCGGCTCCTGCAGCTGCCACGCAGGTCTGGGCTCCAGCGCGAACGCTGGAGCTGAGTCCGCGGCGTCCCAGCCAGCCAACACTGGCGTGGGATCCAACGCGTGGCAGGCCTAGCTAGCGCCTACCCGCCAACGGGGCGCCCTCCCAGTGGGTAATTCGAGAAGGGGCTGCTAACTCCTTCCTCTGCCACCCCACCTTCCATTCTCGTCTACTGCCTGCCTAGTTCCGGTATTGGAGTCCTTTCCAAAATTACTAGTAATCGATCTCATTGTTTGTATGAGTCTCCATGCGTAACCTTAAAATATATTTATCGGAAATTGCTTGGCTTTTGTGTGTGTGTGTGTGAGTTCTGCTTTGTAAAAACTTAGGCCCTTAAGACAATTCCAATTATTTGTGTAATTATTTAAGATCGCCTCTAGGCGTTACTTAACCTGTCTTGTACATTGCTGGATTCTGAACTCCTAGCACAAGGCCTGGAACATAGTAAATGCTTAATAAATACCTGTGTAATGAAGGAATAAATATGGAAAGGTATAAAGAAAAGGTAATAAACTAATGATAATGACTGTGAACATGTTGATTTTATATCCTTCCACCTACTTTTCTAGTAAAATTATAGAAATTTCACAATTATTTTAGAAAAAAATAACGGTGATGTTGATTTATCTCATTTCATCTTCACAACAACCCTCTGAAGTGGATTTCATTAAAACTGAGGCTATGAGATAGACTTGTCCAAAAGATGTTCAAGGTGGCTCCTCTTGACAAAGGGCATCTATATTTCAGGGCTCCTGCGGCTTGGGGTCTGCTGAAGCACTCAGAGGGAGGGAGGGAGGGAGGGAGTGTGGGAGACCACAGGTGAGAGGGAGGGAGGGACAGGCAGAAACTGCCAGGCATTTGGAGGGGTGGGGGTGGGGGAACCAGGATGGCAAGATCGAGTGGGTAATGTTTAAAAAGTTTGCTGTGGGTGTGCAATCTGACCCCCACCCTTTGCCCCAGAATTCTCCTGTGGAAGCCTCCTTGGGCTGATATGGTGTGAATGACCAGTCTCCCATGGAGCTGGGAGTGCTGAGTTTTGTCCAGGTGAGCTCCAGGCAAATACAGAGACCAACAGGTACAGGCCATCCAGAAACAGAAAGACACGGACATCTGGGTGTGCCTGTGGGTATATTTACATTTTTCTGAACAAGAGTGGACTCCTATCTTACTGCTATTTTTCCCTCCTCACACTAGGCTATGAATGTTTCTGTGGTCAAGAGTCACCTGTCATCTGTGATACCTGCTTTCATGCCCGTTTTGGGGTTGTAAGAGCAGATATTTACAGGCCATTCACTTTGTGCCAGGCACTGTGATACATGCTTTATGGGCATTCAGTCTGAATTCTCATCATAATCTTCTTGTTTTCCCCACTTCACACACAGGGAGACCAAGGCAGGTTAAGCAACTTTCCCAAGGTTACAGTTAATAAGTGGTAGAGCCAGGATTCGGGTCTGGGTATACACTGGCTTCTTGAGTGTCCTGTCCCTAATTCTTGACTCTTCCATTATTGAGGCCCCTGAAAATTCTGATTCCCTTGGGAGACGAGACCTTGGGAGGCCTTTAGCTCACCAGCTGCCATAGCTTCTATAGGGAGCAGGTTCAAGTTTATGAGGCTTGCGGAGGGGGGTGAAATACGGGCAGCATCTCATAAGGTAACGGGGGGAAATGAAGAAAAAGAAATAGTCCCATCATGGAATGTTTTACCCTTCAGCCTGTGTACTACAAGTTTTGGAAAATATAAGATCTAGAAGATATTATTTTGGTTTCAAGTGTTAGCTTTTAGTCACCTGAAGAAAACTCCTCTGGCTTTTGGCAAAAGACAAAATTTCATCTGAAATTCTGACCGTGGAAAGTCAGGCAGGAACAAAGGGTCTGAGTTGGTCTGTCCAACTCCAAAGCCAGACATGAAAAAAGAAGACCTCACCACTTAACTACTTATGGCTCAGTAGCCTTGGGCAAATTTTCTTAACTTCTCTAAGCCTCTGTTATTTTGTCTGTGCAGCAGAAGTTCCCCTTCTTTACAGGGACATCTTGATTTGTGTTCAGGGAACCAGCACACCCTATTCTCAGTTCATGATAAGAGGTCTCCCCATGCCCCAGGCGCCAACAGTGGACACATGACCAGACCTGGCCAATCAGTATATTCCATCTCTTTAGCCCTATTGATTGGTTCTGAGATGACCATGTGACTCAAACCAGGCCAATGAACTACTAATCTGGGTCTTCTACAGCAACCATAAAAAAGGGAATCTACCTTTTCCAGAGAGTGTTGAGCTGGTAGGATGTAAACCTAGGGTTTCTGGGCATTCACTCTTACGGCAAATATTTATCAAGCTCCTATTGTATGCCAAGTATTATGCTAGGAGTTGGAGGGGAGGCCTGCCTTCAGGGAGCTATCCAATGGGGTAGGAAAAGGGAAAACAAATTTCTCAAATAGTCATTATTCTATACCATTACAAACTGCACAGGGTGCTATGATTGAGGAGCAAAAAAGGCAATGAGATATTATAAAGGTGAACATAGGAAGGCTTCTCTGAAAAAATGACAAATACTTGAGTTGAGCTCTGAAGAAGTAGGCATCTTCCCAAAGCTTTAGAAGACAGCTGCCCTGGGTGGCCTCAGCAAAGAAATGTGGATCAGATCATTCTTGGTTTTTGCTTGGTCCTTTTGCTTTGCTCTTTTAACCATCATGCAAAGATGTTCAGACTTTATTGAAGAGTTTGGGGTAACAAAAGAGAATTAGATATAGGAAGAAAAACAATAAACTGTACCCTTGATGTTACAGTATCCAAGAAGAAAACTAAACCCTAAACAAAATAATATCTTCTAGATCTTATATTTTCCAAAACTTGTAGTACATAGGCTGAAGGGTAAAACATTCCATGACCCTTCATTAGCACAATTGTTCCAAGCCTTGCTCTCCTGTCCTGAAGCCTGCCCTTCCTTCTCTCATATGGACAAACATCTCCTCTTCAAGCGCTGAGGGATAAAATCCCCACCTCTACTAGAAAAAAATCCCACTCCCTTCCCTTAAGGATTTGTGGTCTTCCCCCTTTCCTTCCACCAGAGTAATCCATGGGACTCAGTAGCCCACAGGATGCAAAAAACATCATCAAGAAATTGGAAAGACAACTCAGAATGGAAGAAAATATTCATATATCACATATTTGATAAGGGATCTGAGGCTAGAATATATAAAGAACTCTTACAACTTGGTAATAAAATGATAAACAACCCAATTTTTAAATGGCAAAAGATCTGAATAGACAGTTCTCCAAAGATATGCAAATGTCCAATAGACACATGAAAGGATACTCCACATCATTAGCCGTTAGAAAAATGCAAATTGAAGCCAGTACGTTGGCTACAGTTAAAAAGTCAGATAATAACAAGTGTGGACAATGTGGAGAAATTGGACCCCACACACACTGCTAGCAGGAACAAAAAATGGAAAACAAGTTTGGCAGTTACTCAAAAAATTAAACATGGAATTACCTTATAACCCAACAATTCCACTCCCAGGTAAATACCCAAGAGAAATGAAAACACATGCCTACACAAAGACTTATACACAGAAGTTTATAGCAGCATTAATCATAATGACCAAAGATAAAAAGAACTCAAATGTCCATCAATTGATGAATGGATAATTAAAATGTGGTCTATCCATATAATGGAATATTATTTGGCAATAAATATGAATGAAGCACTGATACATGTTACAACATGAATGAACCTTAAAAACATTGCGCTAAACACAAAAGGCGACATATTATATAATTCCATTAATATGAAAGGTCCAGAATAGAGAAATCCAGAGAGACAGAAGTTAGACTAGTGGTTGCCTGGAGCTGGGTATGAGTTTGGGGATAGGGGAGTGACTACTCATGGGTATAGGGCTTCTTTTTTGGGGTGATGAAAATGTTCTAAAATTGATCATGCTGATGGTTGCACAACTCTGAATATTCTAAAAAGAAAACTGAATTAAACACTTTAAATAGGCATATTGTATGGTATGTGAATTATATCACAATAAAGTTTTACCCCAGAAGAAGTACTTACGGAGTTGCCATCTCACCATGCTTCAGGGTATGGCAGCAGAAGACCACTGGGAATAGTATTCCAGCTCTTACATGTACTTGACCTCTCATGGGTAAAGGCTGATCCCAATTCTAGGAGGTGGGTGCAATCCTCCCATAGGCTCAGAGAGGGCTGGAGAACCACACAAGCCATAGGAGGGAAATGTGTCTGAAGTGTTAACTGCTCAGAGTCCCTGTCCACAGGAAGCCACATCCACAAGGGTTGTAGAGCAGTTTTAGGGTCACAGAAAAATTGAGCAGAAGGTAGAGAGAGTTCCTATATGCTCCTGGCCCCCTAGCCTCCCCCTTTATGAACGCCCCACCAGAGAGGAACATTTGTTAAATAACTGATGACCTGACACTGACACAGTTATCACCAAAAGTCATACTTTATATCAGGGTTCACTCTTGGTGCTGTACATTCTATGGGTTTGTACAAATGTATAACATGTATCCACCATTATAGCATCATAGTAGTTTCATGGCCCTAAAAATCTGCTGTGTCTGGCCTGTTCATCCTCCACACTCCCTCAGTCCTTGGGAACCACAGTGGGATGCTTTTAAGCAGAAGCATTAAAGTCCTCTGGCTCAGAAGGTCCCAGGCCTACTGGACATAAAAAATGAAGCCCATCACACAGTTAACCTAGTACTTCTGACATGTGGGATGTGGTTGTGAAGGAGGGCAGAGGTGAGGAAGAGAATTTCCTTTTAACTTTATACATGTGATTGACATTTGAAACAAATTTACAATGAGCATGCATTACATCGCATTTCAAATTTAAAATGACAAAACCATCTTCCTTTACCACAGCTTAACAAATTTAACAAAGCTTAACTGGGTGCAAAAATTCAAGGTGATTTCATTTTCTTATCAGTACTTTTCTTTCTTGCTCGTTTCAACAAGGAACTTTACTTTTGCAAAAGTTGTTTTTGAATGTCACTTAAAAACCAAAAAAACCCCAAAAAACCAAAAACCAAACCCCACCCCAAAACAAAACACAGTCCAGTGGCTTTGGTCTTGTGGCCTCCCCACTCTTCCCTGGCTGAGGCTGTCTTTGCATCGCTGCTGCCCCAGCCCACATCACCCTTGAAGGCATGAATCACTAGAGAAGCAAAGTCAGCATGACAGGTCAGCAGAGAGGCTGGAGGGCAGAGGCTCCGCTGCAGCAGATGAGTTTATGGCCTTGCTTCTCTACTGGATTTTTGTTCTGTGGGAGAACCACCTCTGGCATGAGATTTCTGAGCACCTCTGAAAACAGCTTTCCTGCTTCTGGAAGACCTGCTTTTTGCTTGATTGGGCCTAGCAGGTGCAGGGTTAATGTTCACTTGAGTTAGTAATTAATGTTCACTTCTATGGGAGAGAGTTAGGATGGGAGAGGGTTGCTGTTAGCAAATGGTCCAAGTACTTAAGAATGCTTTGAGTCATTTTAGGGGATTACCCAAAGAGTTCTCTGCTTCCTTCTTGCCGCCACAGGGGTTGATGTTCCAGAAGAGCAGCCTGCAGTCTGGCACTGTCTAGAGAAAAGTCCTGTGAGCTCTCATGTTGGGCAGCTCCAGCCAGGAGCATTTGCCTCTTTGTCTAAATCCACATAACAAGACACAGTGGCCTTAACCCAGGATGCAAAGCCATTTGTTCAAGGAATAGTCTTGCTGTCAGTACTGTTCTAGGTCCTGGGGATATCGCATTAGGTGAACAAGACATCATCACCTATCCTCTCTTTGACTTGACGTTTTGGCGGGGCCCATATGATTGGGGGGAGACTCATAAATACATGTTTGAGGCAGGGAGCTGGGGAGATGTATTTGGAATAACACCACTAAGTGATCAGTGCCCTTGTAAGAACTCCCGTGGGTAGCACACTGAGGTACTGGGAGGGAGTGAAGAGATTGGGTCCCTAAAGGCACCACCATCACCCCTCTGGCTAAGTGCCAGGGATCCGTTTAAGTGCATGACACACATCACCACATTTAATCTTTGTCTGCTTCATTCTCTGATGTAGACAAGTGCCCAGAACACTGCCTGGCATGTTGCAGGTGCTCAAGAAGTATTTGCAGAATGAATTAATTTAATTCTCAAAGCAAATCCTATGAGGTGGGTGCTGTTATTACTTCATTACAGGGATGACCAACTTGGGCCCCAGGAGAAATATCTTTCCTAAATCACACAGTTGTCCAGAGATCCAAACTGGGGAGGTCTCCCTGCTGCTGGTGAGACCTCAACCAGGAGAGGGCTCTTGATTTGTGATTGAGAAAGAATTCATGAGCAGGTTGAGCAGGTACAAGCAAAGAGTAGTTTAATAAAACAAAAGTACACACTCATGGAGAGAGTGTGGGCCTCCTTGGGAGGTGAACAGCAGGGTGGGATTCAGGTGGCCTGGTTTTACAAATGGAGCTTAAGCAGGGAGGGGCATATTCATCGGAATAGGTGGAGTTTTCTCAGAATAGGGAGGGTATTTCCAGGAAGTAGGGTGATGCCCTCTTTTTGTCCTTAGTTGGTCTGCCTCACAACTGTCCTGGTGCCAAAGGGTGTGATTTTTAGTATGTCAATGAGTGTTTAATGTATTCAGAGGTGAGGTCAGGGTCCATTTCTCCTGCATGTTGGAACCAGCCAGTTTTGGCAGGTCTGCTATCTATACCCTCCCTCCCGACATCCTGCAAGAATACACGGAATATTTAGAATGTAAACAAACATCTAGCTTAATGTAAACACTGGCTAAAGTCCCTAACCCCATCCCTGCTCATGTCTAGCCATCTACCTGCTATAACACAACTAAGGAGTTCTCAGTCTGTGTGATTCCCAAACCCCACGGGTTAACCCACTGCATTAGTTTCCTGTTACTGCTGTAACAAATTACCACATCTAGTGGCTGAAACCACCACAGTTGTCTTACAGTTCTAGAGGTCAGAAGTCCTAAAATCAAGGTGTCAGGCACCCTGTGTTCCTTTTCAGAGGCTCTAGGGAAGAATCCGTTTCCTTACCTTTTCTAGCTTCTAGAGGCTGCCTGCAGTCTTTGGTTTCTGGTTGCATCACTGTACTTCTGTTTCTGTCTTCACCTCCTCCTCTAATTCCTGCCTCTCTAAGGACCCTGTGATTACATTTGACCCACCTGGATAATCCAGAATAATCTCCCCATCTCAAAATCCTTAATTTAATCACACCAGCAAAATCCCGTTTGTCACATAAAATGGCATATGTTCTGTGGATTTGGATGTGGATATCTTGGGGCAGGAGCCATTATTCTGCTCAGCACACTCACTGCTTATGTTTACTATGTGGTATTTTTATTTGTTGTTTTCCTTAAACATGCAAGGATATGGATAAGGCTATGAGCACATAAAATTAGAAAAAAGTGGATTGAAAGAATCTGAGACTCCTGAGGAAGATGGAGGGGGTATAGACTTTGGGGACGTCAAAGGGGACCTGAATCTTATCTATACTGCCCCCCCTTTTTTTAATGAAAAATTATTTGAAGCAAATATGCAAAATGTTAACAATTTATTCTGGTTGACGGGAAATGGAGGTTTGCTATGTATTTATTGCATTTTTAAAAACATACTGAACTAGTCTACACAAAAGAGCACTGGGTCTTGGAAGGTGGGGAACGGAGGCTCTGCCTGGGGGAGCTGAGACAAGTTATTTAGCCTCTCTGAGTATCAGTTATTCCCTCTTTAAAACGCAGGTGATTGTTACGATTGCGGAAGCCCGGGCATGCAAATAGTCTGTAACAATGTTCAGTAATTTTTCCGATCCTTACCTCACGGTAGCAGGGGCCAGACCAGGGGGCCACCCAGGGTTGTAGAGATGACCAGAGGTAGGGGTGGAGCGTCCCCAGGTCGGGAACCCGGCCGGCTTCAAGCCCCGGCAAACCGGGGCTTCCGGCGGGTTGGCCCTTCGCGAGGGCAGGAAGCGAAGGCAGCGCACACCGCCCCCAGGTGGCCATAAGTAGTATAGCACACTCTCGGAAAAAGTGCACACTGACGTGAAGACTGAATACTGTTCAACACTGAGGAACTCTCTTTTCCTTTTTATTGCTGTGTTCCTAGTGTAGTTGCTACTGTGGATCGCAAGAGCACTGTGGTTCCCAGGCCTGGAACGAAGCCAGAGCTTAAAACGTGATTGAGGCCGCCTGACTCGCCTGGCTACTATTGGGCATGCGCATATTTATGAAGCCTGAGCAATGGTTGGCTGGGCGTGAAGTGCTGTGTCATTAGACTAATAAAGACTAAGTGTAACAGAGTAAAAGCGGCAGGTAGCGTGGCCGAGTGGTCTAAGGCGCTGGATTTAGGCTCCAGTCATTTCGATGGCGTGGGTTCGAATCCCACCGCTGCCATACCGCTGGTTATGTTTTATTTGGCCTCCTTCGCGTGCCGCCTCCCAATCCCTCTTCTCTTTCTATCCTTTCTGAAGCTTATCATCATAATTATTATTTTTAATGGCATGCAGAGGGCAGGAATAAAGAACTCCAGCGCAGGCCCCCTCATTCCCTAACCTAGTAACACGCCAGTCTCAGTACCTAAACAATGAAAACAAAAATGTCTTCCTATTACAAGGGGAAAGCATCTGAGATACCTTGAAAAGTTCCCAGGAGGTTATGTACATCTTTAATTTGACTCTGCAAGGCCTGAGGCCACAGGGAGTGGGCCTCTACCTTCCAAGGACAAAGGTTAGGTGGGGGTGATTTTAACTGACTTGAATTAAGACGGGTCCCTGTAGGGCACGTGAAGTGTCTCTCAGAGGGCCTTCCCCACTTCCACCCCGCCCCTTCCCCCCTCTATTGGTAGGAACAGTGCCAGGTGACCCTTTGGACAGGTTCAGGTATCTGAGGGCTGCCCCACATGAGGGTATCAATCTTGAGGTCCCAGTTCCTACTTGGTTTTTGGGCTCTTCATATGTTTAGTCATTCAATAACTATTTATGAAGGGCCTACTATGTATGCTTTGGGAACTAAGTTCCTCTTGAGGCTACAGGGTGAACACGTCTTTGCAATCAGTTTACATCCAAGTACTTTCATTAATTACACCTGTGAAGAGTGCAGCATGCTGAAGTGGCCCAGGGTCAGTGGAGGAAGTGACATTTAGCTGGGACTTTAGCCAAGTTAAAGTGGGTGAGGAAAGTTCCAGGAAGAGGGAACAGCATGTGCAAAATCCTAGAAGCAAATGAGAGCCTGGTGAGTCTGAGCTGCTTTGAAGGCAATTCAATGTAGCTGGACAGAGAGCAGTGGAAGAATGGCAAGAAGTAAGCTGAAGTGTTAGGCAAGGAGGGCCATGAATGCCAAGTTAAGGCTTTGAACTTGATCCTGAAGGCAATGGGAAACCTTGAAAGGTTTTAAGCAGGAGGGTGACATTTCCAATTTTCGATTTAGAAAGTTTCCTCTGGCAGCAGGAACAGGAGGTTCTGCTCAAAGTCTACTGTAATTGTCTAGGAGAAAGGAGAGTAGCTTGTAACATGGGGACAGTGTATAGACAGAGCAGTGGGTCTGACAGAGCTCACTGACGAAGATGTGAAGAAGAGGAACATATCAAAAGGGATGCGCAGGTGTTGGGTGTGAGCCACTGGATGGCTGGTAGTACCCTAGAAGGGAACACAGGATGAAAAGGACATTGGTGAAAAAGATGATTCAGTTTGGTTCACACTGAATTTGAGATGTAGGACATGGGGTTTAACAGGAGGTTGGACATTGAAGTCTGGAGATAAAGAGAACACTCTGAGCGAACAATACAGATTTGAGAGGCTCTGGAGACTGAGGCCATGGGAATGGATAAACTTGCCCAGGGAGAGTACATAGAGGGAGTAGAGGGACCAAGACAGAATCCTGAGGAACATCATCTTAAGGGAGGGCAATGGAAGAGAAGCCAGTGAAGAGACATTGAAGGACTGGCCAGAGACATAGGTAGAAAACAGGTGTGTCATGAAGGCTGAGAAGAATATTGCAAGGAGGGAATAGTCAACTCTGTTGAATGCTGCTAAGAGGCATGGCAACATAAAGAGTAAAAAATATCTATTGGATTTATGATTTATGAACAAGGTCATTGATGACCATTAAAGCCATTCTGGAATGAGTTGAAGAGAAGAAATGGAAACATAAGTGAGGATGATATATCCTGAAATTTGATTTTCAGGAGGGGAGAGTGAAAGGAGCAGGAGGGGGAGGGGAAATGGGGAGACAAGGGAAGATATTTTTGATGAGATCAGATAAATTGGAGGATGTTTCAGAAACCTGGTCTACAAAAGAGAATCACTTCAGTTCTCACAATGGAAAGCTTATGAATTAGCCTTGATGGTTCATTCTGATTGGCTGCCCATAGCAACAACAGTTTTCTGCATCCATGATGCTTCTGCTCAATGTCTCCAAATAAGCTAGGACCTCCTCCTACTTGATCTCTCAGAACATCATGAAAGGCTGGTTATCTGGGAAACCTCTAAAATCTTCATGTGGACTCAGTCTGTTTGGTGGGGGTGCCACGTACTTTTCCATCAGGTGAAGACACTTGAGAGGAAGGAAGCTAGCTATCTTGGCATAGTGACCCACGCTACCCCCCATGCCCAGTGTTTAAACATTCTACTTTCAAAGCCTCAGGGAAGGGATGGAGAAATCCAGAAAAAAAAAAAAAGATTTTGCTTTTGGATTTCAAAAGCTGAGGTTTGGCAGTAGACAAAGATCTAGAAGATTATGTGAACAGTAAAAACCTGTTTTCCCTGCTCTAAGAACAGATTTCTCAGGGTTGGTAGAGAGAGGAAAGTCAGAGAAGGAGGAGGAGAGTTTAGAGGCAAGTGTGTTACTGAGAAGAAAGGGAGCCCTGCACGAACTGCCAGCCCCACATGGCGTGAGGTTTGTGGATCTGAGACTGAGGTGGATCCCAGAGCTCAGCTCAAGAACTGGCATGGCAGAAATAACCATGAGTCGTGTTTAGGCCAGTAGACCTTAGGCAGCTCCACCAAATTAGCCCAGCTGCAGAGCAGTAACTGTACTTCCTGTACTCTTTAAAGTCAGACACAACTCCCATTCTTCTTCTATACAATGAGAATAAACCCTACTGAAAGGGTAGCCCTTTCATATAGATGAAAGCCCTTTCCAACTGTCAAGCATTGAACAGACATAAAGAATTATTATTGAACTTCAAAAAATTACACATACATATGCAATTCAACCTAGCAAAGAGAAGCATCCGCTTTTTAGCTGCTTCACAAACTTTCTGAATTGATCAGCAGAGAGGGACACACAGTGATACTCATACCCCACAATGGCCATGCTGGCTCTAACTAACAACACATTTGCTCCCCCTTCACTACAGGCTTCCCTAGGCTTGTGATGGTTTCCATCTCTGCCAGGATCCACTGGCCACAGTTTCATATATATATATATATTATGATATATACAAAGATGTATTTACACATTGGTATCTTGGTACTCACAACAGACACCAAGATGATAGGGAGATGCTGTTTCTGTGGAGAGCAGTGTTGGATAATAAATTTTATGGGTTTAAACATTAAAGATCATGGTGATCACTGATCCTTCATTAGCAAAAAGAAGCAATACTAAATTATAAAATACAGCCAACTAAGTTTTAATTTTTCCCATTATAACTGTACTGGTACTTTTTAAAGAAGTCCATTCTTTAAAAAGTTTTTTTTTAGATATAATTGACATGTCAATATTATATTGGTTTCTGATGTACAACTTAATGATTCAATATATGTAATACTGTATTGTGAAATGATTATCACAATGTCGAGTTACTCATCACCACAGCACGTTTTTTTCTTGTGATGAAAACTTTTAAGATCTACTCCCTTAGCAATACATACACAAATTATCAACCATAGTAACCATGCTGTACATTTCCATTACATATTTAATGCTGGGAATTTGTACCTTTTGACCACCTTAAAGTCTTTTTTCTTTTTTTATGTTTTTGCTGGTACAGAAACCCGTGATTACAATAAGCTGAGTCATCCCCAGACTCATAAACTGGAAACCCAAAAAGGCCAGGTTGGTCTAGTCAGAAGCCTGGGGTTCCAGCGTCCTTCCAATCCTGGATATCAACACAAAGAGAGACCTGCACGAGTGAAGGAACCCAAAACATTAGGGTACCAGCGTATCAAACGCAGTTCTCCTGGAATGGGTCTAATTCAGGAAGCCAAGACGATCTCAGGACAAGCCCAGAGAAGCTTGGGCAGTGAGAAGAGTCCGGAGGCCCTAGACAGGCAGCAGCATTGAACACTAGCCGCTGGATTGCTGCTGGCCGCCCAGAGAGCTCACCTAGGCGGCGTGCGAGAGGTGGGTGGAGCCACAGGGGGCGCGGCGGGGCTGGGACCGAATCACAAGTAGGAGAGGGGAGGGACCAGTTTCGGAAGTAGAAGCCAAGGGGTGGGCTCAGACGTACTGGTGGGGCCAGGTGGGTCGGGGAAAATCCGGGATCGGGACAGGCTTGGGCATGAGCGGGGAGAGGCCCCGCAAGGTGAAGCCGACTCTAAGGCTACGACTTCGTCCGTAATCGGGCCAGGCCAGCGGAAGCGGGACCAAGACCCTTAGGACGGAGAGGGGACGGAGCAAGGGCGTAACCCATAGGGTGGGGCGGGCGCGGCCCAAGCACGGAAGGTGAAGCAAGGGCAGGGACCAGGCAGGTGGCGAAGCTCAGAAGACGGCCGGTAGCAGGCCTGGGAAGAGCAGGGCCAGGGTGAGCAGGCCGAGCAGCAGCAGCCCGAGCAGCAGCCGCAGGAGAGTCCGCGCCGTGGGGCCGCGGGGCCGCCCGGTCATGGACTGCACGTATAGTTCCACGGCATCGGCGAAGCTGAACTTCTCCGGCACGTAGCCGAGCTGGGCGCGGGCCTTGGCGATCTGGAAGGTGTGCGTCACAGCCACGCTGCGCACCTGCGGGGAGAGGCGGGGCAGCCGAGGGCGGGACTAGTGAAGGTGGGAAATGCCCTCCAGCTTGTTTCACAGAAGAGAAAAGAGGCAGGGACTTCCCTTCCGTCGCACCGCGAGGTTAAAGGACCTGTATTCTGGCTCTTGCTCCTGCTACACCCTCGTCCGGGAGGACTTCTTTTCTTCCTCCCATTTCCATTTTCCTTGAGGGCACTGAATCTTGATGCCTTTTAAAAGTCTCCCTGACCCTTTTGAACTTCTCAGTACTTCAAAAGTAAAAGCCCCACCTCTGCCTTCCCCTTCACCGTTCTAAACTGTGCTGGGAACCAGGAAGCCCTTGTTTATATTCTTGGGTACCGCTGGGAGACGCTTACCGCCCTGCCTATGGCAGGAGGCTGCTCTAAGAAAAACCATCGCCAGGAAATACTCCTTCGCCTCCTGACCCACAGCCCCAGTCCAAGTGTAGCCAGGCAGGCCCCATGGTGAAGCCTTCACGCCCTGGCTGTTTAAGCTTCCCTAAAACAGGAATTCAATTATGCGGAAGTGATCACTCTCCAGGGTGTGAGCTGTGATTCTCCCTCACTGCTAGATGGCCTGGGGCCTACAAGGCTGTAAGGGTAGTACTGACAGCTATCAATTACTGAACAGGCACTCTGTAACTGGCCGGAACTAAGTCCTTTCTAGGCCTTTTTATCTTATGTAATCCTCTGAGATACACTACCACCATCTCTTCTTTACATATCTGAAAGTTGAAGATCAGAGAGGCCAAGTGACTTGCCCGAGGTCACACGGGAGTCGGATTCTAGCTGGTGTTTTACCCTGTTGTGCTGGGATTGGGAGGATGCTCTCCACCTGACTCATTTCTTCCACTCTTGTTCCTCAGCTGCAAACTGGGAAGAGATTCACAAGCTGCTTGGTGCTCTCATGGCACTGAAACAGCCCCTGGGGTCAAGTCCTTGGTCTTGGGTGCTTGTTCGGGGAGAGAGGCCAGTTCTTGTCCCTTTTTTGCCCCAGTCAATAAGTTCAGGGCCTGGGGGATGCAGCTGAGAGCTAGATAAACAGAATCCTGGCACACTGTATTCTCAGATCTCAGGCTTAGAAATCACTTCATTTGTGAAGTCCCCCTAACTTGAGAACTGGTTTAGGTGCCCCTTCTGTGTGCTCTGAAGTTCCTCATCAGTTTCCCGAGTACAGCCCTTATCACAGTGTGTTGAGTTGCCCTCTTCCTGGGCTTTATTCCCCTTAGGACTGTGAACTCCTTGGAGTAAGGACTATGTATTTCCTCCATTGCTCAGCACAGTGACTGGCCACAGTAGGTGCTCAAAAAACAAACTGAACAAACGACCATACAAAGACATAGAGGGCTGGTTGGTATGTCACAGACTGACCAGAAGAGGGCGCGCGAGCCACAGTGCTCAGAAACTCCCTAAGTAGCGCTTTGCTGGAGCTGAAAGGGAAACCCAAAAGTGAAATGGTAGGGAGGGGAGCCAAGTCCCTGCCCCACCACAGTTCAGCAGCACCTTGGCAGCTATTTTACGTGGATGTGATTCCTGACTCATTTCACAAGGTGGTGGTTACATCATTTAGGTCTGGGTGGGGTTCGAAGGTCAGCTCTGCTACTAGAGTGAGGGATTGTGGGCAAGTTATTTTAACCCTGTGTGTCTCATTTTCTCCTCTAGATATAGAGATGATAATAGAATCTACAATTTAGAATAGTAGCAAAGATTAAATGAGATAAAGCACAATGCCTGGCATATTGTCACCACTCAGTTGATGGTGGGTATTTTCGTTTTCTTTCTTCTGCTAGTCTGGATAGTTCAAAGGAGAAACCATAGGAAGATTGCTTCTTTCTGTTGCCCATTTTCTATTCCCTGAGGTAGACAGCACTGAGCTTGGAGTATGAAGCCAACTCCAGAATGGTGGGACCTTTGGCAAGTCACTAACTTCTCTAGGGCTCAGTTTCTAATTACAAAATGGGACTCATAATCTTTTGCCCTTCCTAACTCAGCAGGGCACCAGAGAGAATCGAATGAAACAGAGGACTGGAAGGATTTTTCAGATAACACAAAATACCACTTGCTGCTTTACTGTTTACAATTAGCATTCAAACATTCTCTCATTCAAACTGTGTATGCAAGTAGAAAACTGCATCATCATTATTTGAGAATAGTGTTCTGTACACAGTAGTTACTTAATATATACTTATTATTAAGTATGAGTGGTGAACCTAGAGCCTTCAATCAGGCTGTGTGTGTGTATGTGTGTGTGTGTGTACTGAGAGCTGGTGGGAGTGGTGGCATTCAAAAAAGTGAATGTCACAGAACCTGACTTTGAGAGCCTCCGGTCTGGCTGGGAAGATAAGCTGCTTATGAATGAAATGACAGTGCTCAGGGATGGGCTTGGAGCTGTCGCATTTGAGACCAAGAGAGCACAGCCTAAACAAAAGCCCAGAGGTTGGGATGATTATGAAGGAGCCAGTGTTAGATTGGGCCCACATGGAAGGTTCTGAAACCTCAGAGGAGCATCCAGTTTTGGTGTCAAAGGGGTGAGGGGTGGTAGCAGTAGGGGTGGGGAAATGGGGTGGGAAGGCTCGGGAGGGGGCACAGGGATCTCCTAGCAGCAGCCCACTTACCTCACTCCGGGTGAGCAGCGGTGGGACACTGCAGATGGGCCTCAGGGCCAGGTGCAGATACTCCATCATGGTGGCTGTGGGGGAAAAGAGGGGCCAATGACCAGGGTACCGTGTTTAATGTATGCTCCAGGGAGGCCCCTGGTGACACATCACTTGGGGGCATTATTTGCTTTGCTAGGGGGAGCCTTCATTTTGCAAACATTTCCCTGTCCTTGGATTCCTTTAAATCAGCTGTCCTCAGCACACACCAGGTGCCTTGTTTGGCCGTGAAATATGTCACAATAAGTTGTTAGTAAAGGACGTGCATTTTAACCTAATCTGAGCAGATTCAAAGTTATTTCTATGATCATGTCTCTCTCTCATTCACTTCTCTTGAGCAGGAGAAAGAAGTCGGAGCAGTGGTTCTCAGCCTGGGCTGCATTCTGGACCACTACTAAAAATGCTTATGCTCCACTCCCACCCCACCCCAACATGATTGGCCTGGGGTTAAGAACCACTGAGTTATAGTTAGCTTGCTAGGAACTGGAAATTGATATACAGTCCTGTAAAACCACCAGAACTTTAATCAGTTGGGGACACAGAGTGGCGATCATTGTGGCAATGTGGGCATAAGACGTGTCCCACGTGTGTGCTATGGTGGACCAAAGTTTGCAAACCCCTGCTTTAAATGGCACATAGAGGGCTTTTAATCCACGTATTCCTATCCTTACCTGTCAGGTAAACCAAGGAAGTGGGCACCTGGATCCAGGGCTGGCTGTGCCCTAGCTTCTCAAACTGCAAGGAAACAGCCTGATATGAGAACAGGTCCTTCAAGGGCTGGTATGGAAAGGACACATGTTCCCCTTACCCTGGGACCAGCAGAGGGTGATGAAATATTGTAAAATTGGTTATGGTGATGCACAACTCTGAATATAGTAAAAGCCATTGAACAGTGTGCTTTAAATAGGTGAATTGTATGGTAAATGAATGATACCTCAGTAAAGCTATTAAAGTTGACATGTGAGGGCCTGAATGCCCCAAGGATGCAGCCTCCAGTGCAGGGTTTCTGGTCAACCACTTCCTGGCAAGCCTGGCCCCTGAGGAGGCTGTAGGCTGCTGGGGGAGGAGACTGGGGTTCTGGAAGGGGCTGCAGCATTGGAGACCCCAAGACTAACAGCTCTCCTTGTTCTTCAGTCCACCTTCTACCTACCCCTTACAGAGCTTACCACACGGTATGGGGGATCACATGCAAAATGCCACAGGGCAAGAAGTTGACATAAATGGGGAAGCATGCTGGACTATGGCAAACTGGGGAAGCAGTACAGCCCCCAAATGAGCAGCCACAACCCAACTCCAGCCAGTTCCAATGTTGCCCAGGGACACTGTTGCCAGAACTGATTTTTAATCTTCCAAAATCTTTTGGAGCTTTTGGAATTAGGAAAGGATGACAGGGAGAGAAGACATGGGGACTCCCAAATTCTCACTCAGGGTAGAGGTGGGCATCTGGGCACCTACCAGTGGGGCCATCCACTCGAAGAGGTTGACACTTTCCCCGTCATTGATGTAGTACACCTGTCCACTCTGAAGGGGGCACAAGGGGAGGGGGACAGTCAGGTACCCACCCACTGACCGACCCCACCCTTTCAGATGTCTCCCAGCAGCCACCCCAAACCCCAGCCAGTTCTCCTGAGCAGCCATTGAGGAGTCATTGCCAGCCCCCAGCCCTGGCAAGAGACTTGGCAATTCCCTTTGAATTCTGGGGCTGCCACACTGGCTGTATGATCTCATGGAGTCACTTAACCTTTCCGTATCTCAATTTCTTCATCTGAGGAATGGGAGAATAAAGTTAGATCTCCCTCTTGGGCTGTGTGAAGATTAATTGTGATGGTGTATGTAAGATGCTTAGCATTTGGTGATAATTATTTCAGGGTCAACAATACCCACCTCACATAGTCACTGGGAGGAGCTAATGATGTTCTATAAAGAACCACCCCCTCCTCTAAGATCAGGAACAAGACAAGGATGCCCACTCTCACCACTTTTATTCAACATGTACTGGAAGTCCCAGCCATGGCAATCAGACAACACAAAGAGACGAAAGGCATCCAAATTGGTAACAAAGAAGTTAAACTCTCACTATTTGCAGATGACATGATATTATACATAGAAAACCCTAATAGACTTATAACTAATTCAGCACTAGAACTAGAACTAATAACTTACTTCAGCAAACTTGCAGGAAACAAAATTAATACACAGAAATCTGTTGCATTCCTATATATTGACAACAAACTAGCAGAAGAGAAATTAAGAAAACAACTGCATTTACAATTGCATCAAAAAGAATAAAATACCTAGGAATAAACCTAACCAAGGAGGTGACCTATACTGAAAACTACAAGACACTCATGAGAGAAATTAAAGAAGATACCAATAAATGGAAATACATCCTGTCCTCATGGATAGGAAGAATTTATATTGTCAAAATGGCCATCCTGCCCAAAGCAATTGACAGATTCAATCTAATGCCTATCAAACACCAACAGCATTCTTCAATGAACTAGAGAAAATAGGTCTAAAATTCATATGGAACCACAACAGACCCCAAATAGCTAAAGCAATCCTGAGAAGGAAGAATAAAGCTGGGGGGATTAAGCTCCCCAACTTCAAGCTCTACTACAAAGTCACAGTAATCAAGACAATTTGGTACTGGCACAAGAACAGACCCATAGTTCAATGGAACAGAATAGAGAGTCCAGATATAAATCCAAGCATATATGGTCAATTAATATATGATAAAGGAGCCATGAACATGCAATGAGAAAATGACAGCCTCTTCAACAACTGGTGTTGGCAAAACTGGGCAGCTACATGTAAGAGAATGAAACTAGATTATTATAAAGACCTGAATGTAAGTCATGAAACCATAAAACTCTTAGAAGAAAATGTAGACAAAAATCTCTTGAATTTAGGCATGAGCAATTTTTTCCTGGACACATCTCCTCAGGCAAGGGAAACAAAAGCAAAAATGAATAAATGGCACTATATCAAACTAAAAAGCAAAGGATGGTACAGCAAAGGATACCATCAGCAGAACAAAAAAGCATCCTACAGTATGGAAGAATATATTCATAAATGACTCATCTGATAAGTCATACATACATAATGCCTCAACACTCAAAAAACAACCTGATTAAAAAATGGGTGGAGGACCTGAACAGACACTTCTCCAAAGAAGAAATACAAATGGCCAACAGGCACATGGAAAGATGCTCCACATCGCTAATCATCAGGTAAATGCAAATCAAAACCACAATGAGATCTCACCTCACACTGGTGAGAATGGCCACTATCCAAAAGACAAGAAATAACAAATGCTGGCAAGGATGCAGAGAAATAGGATCCCTCCTACACTGTTGATGGGAATGCAAATTGATGCAACTGCTGTGGAAAGCAGTATGGAGGTTCCTCAAAAAACTGAATAGAAATACCATTTGACCCAGTAATTCCATTCCTAGGAATTTACCCAAAGAAAACAAAATCCCTGATTCAAAAGATATATGCACCCTTATGTTTATCGCTGTATTATTAGCCAAGATATGGAAGCAATGTAAGTGTCCATTAATAGATGAATGGATAAAGGAGATGTGGTACATATACACAGTGGAATATTATTCAGCCATAAAAAGGAAAGAAATCCTGCCAGTTGCAACAACATGGATGAATCTAGAGAGTATCATGTTCAGTGAAATAAGCCAGGAGGAGAAAGCCAAATACCATATGATTTCAGTTATTTGGAGAATATAAAAACAAAGCAAAACAGAAGGAACAAACAGCATTAGACTCACAGACACTGAGAAGTGACTAGCCATTACCAAAGGGGAAGGGATGGGGGCAAGTGCAGGGCACGGAAGATGAAATGGCACAATAATTCACAATCACAATATAAGTTGATCAAGGTACTGTTGAGCCACTGTGATGTACATTTGAAACCAGTGTAAGATTGTATATTAACAATACTTTAAAAAAATAAAATAAGAACCACCCCCTGCTCCCCAGCTTCCTTGGGTCAACAGTCCCACTAGCCATCTGCAGTTGGGGAGGAATGTTATTTGTTAGCCAGGAATCCCCTAGGGATGGGCCTTGCCTGCTGCCTGTGGCAGGAAAGAGAGGGGAGCTTTGCAGGAGACTCACAGCCACATAGGCCTTGGCTACTGTGAGGGCCTCGGCTGCCAGCACATGTGCCTGAACCAGATTGCGCACGTGGACCCAGTTCATCCGTGTCCTGTGGTCTCCAAATCGGAACATGAACATCCTCTTCTTGATGTGGCTCTGGAACAGGGGTTAAACACAGACTTAATCCTGGAGAGGCTTTAAACTCCACCTATATGCTGACAGCTCCCAAATTTCTAGCTCCAGGCCAGACCCTTCTGCTTCAGATCCAAGGATAGATGCCTTCCCACCATCCGCATTAGCTGTCTAACTGACAGTGCAAACTTGTCTGTGTCCTGGACAGAGCACTGACTTCCTACCCCTGTTAGCCCGCTCCTCCCTCCCATCCCAGCTGACAGCACTCCACCGCCCAAGCTAAAACCCTGCAGCCCACCTTTGGCTCCCTTTTCTATGCTCCACATCCAGCCATCTGCAAATCCAGTTGGCTCAACTATTACCGTCTGTCTGGATCCCAGCCACTTCTCACACCCTGACTGCTGCCCTCTTCTTTCACCTGGATATGCAAAGAACTCCTGCTGGTTCCCACTTCCTGCCATGGCCCCTCAGGCTGTTCTCCGTACAGTCAGAGGGATTCTTTTCAACCCTAAATCAGACTCCGTGTTTCTCCTGAAGTCCTTGCCAAGGCCAAGGAGGCCCTTCTGATCTGGCCCCACCTACTCTCTGACTTCATCTCCTGTCCACCCGACCCTCAGCAAGTCCCCTTTGCCCAACTCCTGCCTCACAGCCTCCTCCTTGGAATATGCTGGTGGGTTCCCATCTCAGGGCTCTGAACTAGCTGTTCCCTCTGTCTGGAAGGCTCTTCTGCCAAAAACCTATGTGATGCGCCCCATCATCTTCAAGCTGATGCTCGCATGTCCCCTGCTTGTTTCAGCTCCCCCACACCCTACTGCACAGTGCCTGGCATCTTTGGCCAGTCCTTATCATTTACCATGCTTATTATCTATCTGCTCGTGTGAGATTATAAGCCCCACCAGGATAGGAATCCTTGTCTGTTTTGTTCACTGATCCTGTTGCAAAACCTGAATAGTATAATCTTTCTAATTTCCAGGTTTGTGCCCAGGCTGTCCACTCTGTTTGGACCATCTTCTCTATCACCCGTTTCCTTTGTTAATTCCTTCTTTCCTAACTGCACAGGCTTCACATCCTCCAGGAACCCCTCCTGGACCTCCCCTGCCAGGTCCTCCCTGCTTTGCTCCCATCTTCTCATTCTTCCCTCTACGCAGCCCCTACCACACTCATCTGTGATTATGGCATCTGTCTCCTGACCAGGCTGTGAGGAATCTGAGGAGAGGGCCTAGCATCCTTGGCATTATATTCCTGGCATCTGTCTTTCTCTGGAGAGAGGTTTTCTGCATGAACACCCTTGTGCTGGTAGCTGGAGGTGACCCATCTGGACCTCAGGGAGCCTGTACCTCAGTGGACACAGTGGGCTCCCTTCTGCCTCGGGGTCAGAGCTCTGTGTCTCCTCCACCTGTGCCTAGGTCTGGCTGGTACACAGTGCAAACTCTCTTCCTGGCAGGTCTTCTTCAGGGCCAGAGGCATCTCCCAGAACTGAGAGTCCCAGGCTCGGGACACTGCCCCCAAGACTGATGCAGTGACCCTGGGCTAGGAGAACCCCAGTCCATGCACACATCAGCCAGGCTCCTCCTGTGCCTCAGGCCCAGGGCTGGGACAACATACCGCCATGCGGGGCAGGTGCCTCTGCTCTTCAGGGCCATAGATCCCTGGAGGCCGGAGCACACAGGTCCGCAGAGTGCCTCCTCCTAGGACACAGGTGAGGCCATTCAAGGATCTGGGGAGGGGTGGACCATCATGGAGAGGGAGAGAAAGGCTCTTCACACTTCCTGGTCCTTACCTGGTAGGTAGGTGGGGAACAGGGGCCCCTGGGGTTTCCTCATTAATTAATTATTCTCTTAATCAATCAGTTGGTCATTCAACAAACACCATTCAGCACCCTCCACCCCTCTCCACCCCACCCCCACTCCCTCCACTAAGCCCCAGGATGTATGCTATGGAGATCCAAGGACTACCAAGAAATGGTTCCTGCCCTCAGCATGCTCAGAGGCCAGTGACAGAGGTAGGACTTTGATGAGATACAAGATATGTGCGGGCCCATGAGAGTTTACCCAGCACTTAAACACGCTCTCCTTTAACTCCCCTGAGAGTCCTACTGTGCTCATTTTACAGAAGCACACAGACCCACACTCCCTCATGCCAACAGCTATGGTTCTTTCCTTTTTCTGACCATCAGTTAGGTGAGGAGTGATGGCTCTCAGAGAGGTCCTGCTATGTGCCTGGTGCTCTAGTAAGCCAGGACTTTATCCACAAGACAACCCTTCAAGATAAGAGTTGTTATTGTCCCTGTTTTATGGATAAAAGAGCCAAGGCTCAGAGAAGGGATGTGACGTGCCCAAGGGCACACAGTTCAGCCTAGTGGAGCTGAGATGGGGGACCCAAGCCCAGGTTCTTTCGACCTTCCTTTGGGGGACCCCTCTCCCTTTACACAAGGTTTGAGAGGACTGTCAGGCTAGATGTGCCACCCTCGCGAGATGGTAGCCATGGGACCCAAGGTGACATGTTCTCACCCAGAAATGTGACCTGGGCATCACTGGCACCAGAATATAAAATCCCAGGAGTGGGTTCACTCTGAAGAGTTCCTGCTACCAGGTGCCTGGAGCTGCTTGACTCTGTCCTTTCCAAGCCCTGCTGGTCATTTTTCTGGATACATATTTTCCAGAAGCTATCCCACATCCTTCCACCATAAATTCTCTTTTCCTTTTAAATCAACCAGGGCCAGTATCTCCAGGCCACAGCCAAACCCCAATTGCTCCCCCTCAAAACCTCCACTTTATACTGACACCCAGTGTAGTAGGGTGTGTGCTGGCGCCCAAAATGGTATGACCATGTCCCAGAACCTGTGGCTTATTGGAAAAACGGTCTTTGCAGATGTAATTAAGGATCTCAGAATGAGATCATCTTGGATTGTCAGGTGAGCCCTAAATCCAATCTCAAGTACACTTACAAGAGACTCACAGAGAGGAGACAGATGGAGGAGAGGAGGCCATGTGAGGATGGAAGCAGAGATGAGGGATGCAGTCATGACCAAGGAGTGAGTGGGGCCACGAGAAGTGGCCTGGAAGTGACAAGGAGGGTTTCTCCCCTAGAGCCTCTGAGGGAGTATGGCCCAGCTGCCGTTTTGATCTGATGCCTGGCTATGAACTGTGAGACAAGAAATTTCCATTTGTTTCATGTCACCAAGCTTGTGGTTATTTGTCGCGGTGGTCCCAAGACATTAACACACATGGGACACATTTGTGTTCACACTGAGCTGGGATCTGCATATCTCAGGACATTGCTATGGGGACCTGGGCCTGAAACTGGGTTAAAGGCAGAGTCTCAGCATCCAGCTTGGGTAGTAGAAACTCAAAATCACCCAGATGACTGTGGCTGGATTCCTGAAAGGCAGGTAACAGGTGAGCTCTTCTGTAAGCAGCCTGCAGTTAATTTTAAACTGTGGGTCACCTGGGCTTGGTTGAGGGGTGGGGGGTTGGGCTGCAGCTGATGTTGGCCAGTGGGGCACTGGGCAACCACGTCACAGAGGGGCAGGGTCCAGGGTAACCATGACTCCTGGCCATGGAAAGCTGGGGATGCTGATATAAATAATTCTCAGCTAGAGTATTAGATGTCTGGTTTTTAGGCCACTGGTCTAGCCGGAGGAGGCCCAGGTAGAGAAGTGAATTCAACACCACAGGGTCAAACTCCTGGGAAAACACAGCTGGATGTTTCCTCTGGGGCTAGGGATCAAGGCCTGACAGGCCCAGTTGACAGGGTGGAGTGGGGAGGATTTTAGGCAAAAGAGCCCATGCATACAGACCTACTCAGCTGTGGCTACAGTGAAGCACTATGGTTAAGCCCCAGGCTCTGGGGTTAGACTCCGGGGAAGGAGGGGGATTCAAATCCCACCTAATAGCTGTGTGACTTTGAACAAAGTCACTTAACCTCTCAGGCTCAGTTTCCTTCCCTGTAAATGTGGAGATTACAATTTCAAGCATCCCCTACTCTCCAAATGCACACAGCCCCTGAGTTTAGATAGTGAGGAAAACCAAATTTTCTGATTCTTTATAGTGTCTGGATTTTAGGAAACAAACAGTGATAATTCGGAGAGCAAGGTATTTATCTGTATCTATTTGGCTTCTGAGTTTAGAAAGCAAGGAATACCTAATGATCTTACCTCATATGGATGCTGTGAAGAATTAGCATGACTTTCACATATAAAAGTAGCATGTAAAATAGGACCTGGCATATTGTAAGCATTTGATAAATGCAAACTGGTCATTTTTTTTTCTTTTTAGCAGTGTCCGGCATTATTTTTTTTTCCTACCAGCTCTTTGAGTTAGATGCCCCTTTCATCCCCTATTTTATAGATGAGGAAACTGGGGCATGGAAAGGGTGAGTGTTTTGCCCAAGATCACAAAGCTAAGAGGTGTTGGAGCTTGGATTTGAACTCAGTTCAGTCTGATGCCAGGTTGTGGGTGCTTAGTTACTGCACCATACTCCCACCTGCCCATAATCTATTATTACTTCTCTATAACCAAAAGAGGCAATATAGTAAGGCAGCTGGGATGATTTTTCTGGCAAGTTATTGAAGGTTAAGCCTGAGGGCCCCTCACTTGCATAGCCCTCCCCAAGTGCTATGGCTCATTCCTTATTCATAATTCTGTACTCTTTTATCTAAAGAGGGTCTTTAAACTCCTCTGTGGCAAAAAAAGGATGCACCTCTGGTCACTTCTCCACCAGTTTATGAGCAACATGAGGGCAAAGACTGGGCCTAACTTGTTCTGGGCTGTATCCCCACATAGCAGGCACATAGCAGGTGCTCAGAATTTGTTGAATGATGAATGACCAAGGCCCTGGGAAACTCCTTTGGTAGGAAGGAGAGCCTCAGCAACATATCAGCTGAAAGCTAGAATCACACATGTATTTTGGGGAGGCAGCAGAGGTCATGCACATTTGTGCTGAGCAGGGCCCCACAATACTCACCTGGAAGAGGTGTTCCATTGGCCATGAGGGTCAACTGGTCCGCGATGGCTTTGGTTCGGGAGTAGTGGTCCATGTGCTACCAGAGGACAGGGAGAATGGAGCCACCAGATGGGGCTGGTGACACTTCTGGAGTACCCACCCGGCCCGGCCACCTTTGCTTCAGACCACACAGGGTCTGGATTCTGGGGACTCTCACTGGCGAATGGCCAGCTCTGAGGCCTCCTGTCCCTCTCCCTCTGAATGGGAGCAGAGTTCAGAGCAGTAATAACAACCAGGACACCTCGCCCACCAGCCTCAAATGCCTGCTTGGGATGCTGATACTGGCTGTATGTTGGGCGAATCATTAACGTGCAGTCCTTTAGCCTTCCCACAGCACTTCTGCTCACACCATCTCATTTCGTTCTCCATACCCCTCCCAGGGTGATGTTATCAGGCCCAGATAAATAAAGAGAGGCTCAGGGTAAAGGGACTTGCTTAGGGTCCCACAGGTGGAAAGTGGCCTGGCTCAGGGCCAGGTCTGTCTGATTTCAAACCACAGAGGGCCTGACCAGCTGAAATAGGAGAAACCTCATGCCACCCAGCTTTGGGAACCCACTCTTCCTGAGACTACCCTGAGTTGTGACCCGACCCTGGTTCCACCCACCCCCACCCCTTGAGCCATGGGTCCCGCCCACCTCTCCTGGAAGCCAGGTACCTTCTCCAATGGGAAATATGGCACAGAGTCCTCATCGCCCTGTTCTATGGGCTTCCCGCCAAATACAACATTGATGGTGCTGGTGTAGATGAGCCTTGGAACCCGCCGGCGGACACAGACTGCAGTGACAGGTGCGCACACACACACACACATGGGGCCAATGTGAGCAGGGAGCGGGCTGCGGAGGGCCCACAAGGACCTCTTGGGTGAATCCACTGACCTCTACCCAGGCTCCAACACAAACCCTGGCCCCTCGGGCCCCCCAGAATACAGAGCTGCTCAGGAGGGAAGGGGTGTGGGTCAAGTCCCTGCTCCATGGCCCCTAGGGACCAGGCTGGCTCATCCTCCTTCTCAGTGGCTCCTGAGCTTCTTTGTCAGGGACAGGTCAGAAGAAAGGTTCACTCAGTGGGAAAATAGAAAAAAGACACTCTAGAATCAGAGAGAAAACTGGGATGCAGGACAAAGCAGGACATGCCCAGAGAACCCAGCTGTGGCTCTTCTACTTTGGCGCTTCAGTGACTTTCCTTACTCCCAACCCCTAATGCCCATGTGCAAACTCCACTCCCGTGTCCCCAGCCATGCTGAGGCCACACTGACCTACCCCATGCAGGGGCTGGGCAGGTCTGCAGTACAGGAAAGATGTGCTGCCCACAGGCCCCTGCTAGGGTGGGCAGGGGAAGGGGGGAGAGTCCCACCTCTGTCCCCCTCCCTTGTCACCAAGAGCTGGGCCTGTGGCAGGGAAGGGGAGAGAAGCAGGAAGCACACAGTGGGTCACACTCAGCTCTGAGTGCCTACCATCAATCACTAGTCTGGTGCCTCCAACATTTATAGACTCTATCTGTTCTTTTTGCAGCTAAAAGACAAGATGGAGGTGGGAAAGTCACGGTGCTGCCTTTTGCCTTGTCAGTGAGGCTGTGAGGCTGGGCTTGGGGTGGGTGAGCAGGGACTGCAGACTGTTTAGCTGGGAGGCAGGGATCCCGGGAGGCTCATGGGCAGCCTGGGAGCCCCAGGCTCCAGTGCTCAGCTCTACCACCATCTCCCTGAGTGACCAGGGGAGATTCTGTCCCCTATGTGGCCCTCAGCTTTCTCCTCTGTGAGGGCAGACCTCCCTGGGGTGGTCAGCAGCATTAAATGGGCCCCAGGGGTGGACCTGGTACAGTGTTTGGAACAGAAAAGGGATTCAAGATATGTTGGATTGTTTCCTCACTCTGAAAGTCTCTGTTTCCTTACCTATAAGATGGACATAGTGATACTGCCCATGCCCTAGCAAGGTGGCTGAGTGGGAAAATGAAAACAACTAGTCTACAGTGCGAGCTGTCTCTGTGCCAGGAACAGGGCGAAGCCTTTCCACCTCATTTAATCCTTACAACCACACTAGGAGTCCATATTCACTTTTAAGCTGCATTTACCCTTGTTGCAGTTGTTTCTGTTTAATAGGTAATATAATCACAGGTTAAAAATAATTTACACAGTAAAAAGGGTCCACTGTGAAAAGGAAAACTCCCTCCCACTCCTGATTCCAAATTTTCCTTCTCCCCACTGCAGAGGCAACTACTGTTTCTAGTCTCATATATTTCTAGAGATACTCAATGCTTATCAATACCAGCACAATGACATGTATGAGTATGTAAATATTCTTTTTAAAAAACATCAAAAACTGTTTTTGCACCTTGGAAATTGTTTTTCTATCACACACAGTCTTTTGAATGGCTGCATGGAATTTCACTCTGTGGATACATCACAATTTACTTAAATAGTCCTCAGCCGATGGGTATTTAGGTTACTTCCTGTGTTTTTTGTTATAAAAACAATGCTACAAATATACAAATTAGTATGATTTGTGGGTCAGAAGGTATGGGTATATTTTGATAGATACTGTCACACTGCCCTTTGAAGAGGATCTGACATAAGTGCTAGTAATGTCCACACTTTACAGATGAGGAAATAGAGGCTCAGAGAGGTTAACTTGCCCTAAGTCACATGGCTAAAAAGCAGCTGAACTGGCATTTTGTGCCATGGAAGCAAAATGCAGGCTGGATATAGCTCAAATCTTTCCTTGAGGAGGTGAAGAGCAGCAATGAATAATACCCGGGCATGCGGTGTGGCAGGCAGAACCAGGATCTGAACCTGTTCCAACTCCAGGTCCTGCATGTGAGGGGCTCACCTTCTCAGCACTGGACATCCCATAGGATGCCACATGGAAGACGCAGTCCACCCCTTCGAAGGCACGGTACAGGGCTTTTTCATCTCGGACATCAGCCTGAAACAGAGAAGGAAGGCTAGGGGGCAGGAGGTTTGTGTCCAAGGCAAATGGAGGTGCCAGCTGTGCATCTTGCCAAGCCCCATAGCTGGCCCCCCGACCCCACACAGGCCAAGCATCTGTAGGGCCAGGAGAGCCTGTGGAGCAGGATTACTATAGTATTTACTACATGATCCTACAGGGCATCATCATCATGAGTCACAGGGACTCTGAGATCAGTGTTTTACATGCGCTATCTCATTGACTCCCTTAAGACCCTTCAGAAGTGGATATGAGTGTTCCCTTTCTATGGATGTGGACACTGAGGCTCAGAGATGTAGAGCCTTGTGGGGTGGCTGCACGTGAGTTAGGGATGAAGCTTAAACAGTCTGACTTAAGAGCTTGTGCTCTCCACATCACACCACTGGTTTCATGCCAGACACTATCTCCCAACCTCTACCCCCAGCCTGGGCCCTGCATCAGTGCCCCAACACCCTCATCCCTCTACCTGGATGAACTCAGTCCCTGGGAATAGCTCCCACTGGGGTCTGCGGAGGTCGAGCAGGATGACAGAAGAGCCACTCTTGGCTAGGCTGGAACCCAAGCTAAAGCCCAGGTACCCTCCTCCTCCAGTCACCAGAACCTTCTGCCGAGGGGCCTGCATGGGTGTGGCCTGAGTCTTCTGCTGTGGTGCTCGTGTTGGGGCTGTTGTTGGCTCACTGGGTTTAGGCCCAGTCCCAGACCCCTGCCTGGGCCCTGGCTCTGACCCTACTCCTGGCCCAGGTACTGACTTAGCTCCTGGTCCAGGTCCAGACATAGCACCACGCCTTGGTCCAGGCCCCAGAACAGCACTAAGCCTCAGCTTAGGCCCTGAAACAGTACCAGACCCTTGCCCAGGTCCTGAAGCAGCACCAGGGCCTGGTCTAGGTTCTAGAACCACACCAGGCTCTGGCCCAGATTCTGGCAGAGCACCAGGTCCCAGCCCAGGCCCCAGGACAGCACCAGCTCCCTGAATAGTACCAGGCCCCAGCCCAGGTCCTGACAGAGCACCAGGTCCCAGCCCAGGCCCCGGGATAGCAGCAGGCCTCAGCCCAGGTCCTAGCCCAGATGCCAGGACAGCACCAGGTCCCAGAACAGTACCAGGCCCCAGCCAAGGTCCTGATACAGCACCAGGTCCCAGCCCAGGCCCCAGGACAGCACCAGGACCCAGAAGAGTCCCAGGCCCAGGTCCAGGTCCTAACACAGCACCAGAGCGTGGCCCAGGCCCCGGTCCAGGTCCTGACTCAGACCCCTGGCCTGAGACCCCTCCCCAGGCCTGGCAGACAGGACAGTTCTTCTCGCCCTGGCTGGAAGCTTTGCAAGCCTCTGGGGAAGAGCCTGTCAGGTTGGGCTTCATCCTCTACTGAGTCATGCAGACCCAGGTTCTGTCCACCTGTAGGGAAAAGTAGAAGAAAGGATGTTCTAGAGTTGTTTCAGGTCATGTGCATTATCAGACTGAGGGTAATTCTTGGTAGGACTTAGGGTCCCTCTGAGTCCCCACTGAACCTAAACCCTTTCAGAATCTCAAAGACTTCCAAGGCAGCTCTGGCTCTTTCAGACAGAGAGTCAAAGACAAGGCAGTCAGTCAGGCCTTGGGTTTTATAGTTAGGGGAAACCAAAGCCCAAAGTCACCCTGCACGGCTCAGACAGACACCAAGATTCCTGACTTCTCTACCAGTTCCTTGAAATCCCAACTCCCATGCGACACCAGAGGAAGACAGATCAAATCATGCTAAGGGGAAACCCATCGGACTGGGAGGCAAATGCTTTCTGACTGGATAATGGGGGATGACTTCCTGGAGGAGGAGGAGGAGGGAGAGGAGGAAGAGAAGGAAATGATGAGGAGCAGAAATCCACGTGGGATCCAAAGGGCTCTGTGCTCTGGGCACCTGCACATGATTCCAAGTGTGGTGGTGCCTCTGCTTTGACACCTGCTGCCTGGGTACCAGGTTCCCCAGCAGTGCAAGTGGCTGGTAGTACAAGGTCCACCCAAGCCCCCTGCAGGCTTCGAGGTCAGGTCTGTGGATGTTGGGGGCCAGCACTGGGGATCGTGTCCTCCTCACTCCAGACTTAAAGTGAGCCCGGCTGTCAGCCTGGTGTCGCCATCACCATCATTGTCCCACCCCCACCTCCTGCTCCACCAGAGGGGAGGCTGCACCAGGTGTGGGAACGTCATCATCATCAATACCAGTGGCAAACGTGCACTGTGGGCCAGCCGTGGGCAGGCGCTGTGGACACAGAGATGTCGCTGTGGATACAGAGACAGTACGTCTCTGCCCTGCGTGGCACATGCTGGCCGTGAAAAACAACAGGTGATCGACAAGCCCCAGGCTGTGGTGGTGGTGTCATGGGCAGGGACCCTGAAGTGAGAGGGGCAGCGTCTTTTAGTCTCCTCTGTCACTGCCCTGCTCTCCAAAGTTCAGGGTCAAGGACGCATTATGCCCTGGATGAGCACTGGCTCTCAAGGGTTTAACAGTTGGGGTGGGGCAGAGACACCCAAATCCGGGTCACCACAGGGACTGAGTCTAATTCCGCTTACAGAGGGTACAGGGTATCCAGCCCCAGAGAAGAGCCCTTCTCTACCCAGGCCCAGGGGACTCTGTCCTGGGGAAGGGTCTGTGAGACTAGAGCTGTCTTTTTGTCCTATAAAGATGTTTTTATGACAAAGACTGGGACTCTGCCTTGGTATCCATTTTCTGGGTGTGTGTTTGGGTGAGATCCTTAAAATTTCACCTCACCTCAATTTCCACAGCTATAAAATGGATCCAAATAACCCTGGCTGCTCCATCTATCTCCCTGGTGGTCATGAAAGAAAAAGTGCCAGAGCCCTTGTCAAATCACTGGACACATGCTTCAGGAGGGCTTTGATCACTGAAATGACCCCAGCACCTAGAAGAGTGCTTGGCCCCAAGCAGGGGGTCAGTCAATAGCTGCTGACTGAATGAGACCACTAGGGCTCTTGTGCATCTGGGAGCACTCTGGCCAGGCCCTGGCTGGCCCTGGACAAGGTTGCATTTCATTCTCCTGGCAGTTCTGTTAAGCAGAGGCTGCTGTTCCAAACACCCAGAGATGGAAACTGAGGCTCAGGATACATCTGCGAACTTTGATGGAGTTTCAGTAAATGGCTTGGATCCAGGTCTATGCGGACTCCAAAGTGGGGTCCGGTGGAAGGAATTGGTTTGGGGGCGTTAGAGACCGACCCCCAGCGCGTCGCCTCGGGGGGCAGGCAGGAGCGGGCGACCCCAGGCGGAGAGCAGCCGGACAGCTCAGGCCGGTCTCCATTCCACGCTCACGCCCATCCCGGTGCCGGCGCCCGCGGTCTGGTCCGCACCCCCGCTGCGCTCACCTGCACGGGCTCCCGCGGCGCTGCGTGCTCCCGGCGCTGCGCCCGCGAGTCTGGGTGCCGAGCCTGGGCTCTGGGTCCGCCGCTGCCTCGGGAGGGGACGGGCTGGACTCCGGGACCGCCCCGCGCCCGCCCCTGCGCCGCCTCCCCCTCTCGACTGACTCGTGACGCGGGAAGGCCCTACTTCTCTAGCGAGGGGACCTGCAGGCGCACACAGCGGGGAAACTGAGGCCTGCCGAGCAGGGGTATGGTGCAATGGACCGCGCAAAGCCCCTGCATGCCGGGCCCTGTCCTGCCCGCGGTGATCCCAGAACCCCAAGAAGCAGTGTTTACTTCCCCACACAGTCCTTTGTTCAGCCTGCCTTCCTTCCCTCCCTCCTTCCCCTCTTCCAACTATTCATCATCCCACCTCTTCTTTCATTCATGTCTTTGTCCATTCATCCATGCATCATTCTGTCATTTCACCTACCAGTCCAGCCTTCCATGCATCCAATTAATTCATAAATCTTTACTCCCTTCCACCCGGATATCCACCTACCCTTCCTTTCCTGCATTTCTTCCACCCATCTCTGGGTCCATCTATTCCCCCATGCCTTTTGTTCCATGTCTGATGGGTGCTTCTTCAGTGTGACTGCCTTTCACTTGCACTGGGGACCCGGATGGATCCCACCATCCCTGGAAAACTCCTTTGCAGGTGACAGTAGCAGAGGGGCAGCCATGTGCCTGAGAGCTGATTATAACTGAGGCCCCAGGTGCTGTGCAGTCAGACCTGGTTACTTTGGTCTGAAGAGGCTACTGGCGTAGGTGAGTGTAGAGAAAAGAAAAACAGAATCTTAGCCAGCACATGCTGTATGCCAGGTGGTAAGGTATCTTGTTTAATCCTCACAACTGTTTTAGCCCAATTTTAGAGGCAGGAAAACAGGTTGAGAGAGATGAAAAGGGGCTCAGAGTGTGCTTGGAAAAGGCCACGGGGTCTGGCTGGGCTTAAATCTTGGCTTTGCCACTTTCTTGCATGTGTCTTTGGGTAGCTACAAGCCTCAGTTTCCTTGTCTGCAAACTGGAAATGGTGGATGCTTTACAGTTGTTACATTGCCATTGTCAGCTGATGGCTGACAGGTGCCTGAAAAATGTTGAACATGGTTACCTGCCCAGGTGGCGTTCAAGCAATGGTAGCTGTTATCATCATTATGAGAGGCTGGGATTCAAACCCAGATCCTGTGCTTCACCACTTCACCGACTCTGGTCCATCCTTACATTCACAAAGATTAGCCTCTTCCTGTCCCACCAGCAGGGCCAGAGGACTCATATTACTCCTGCTTGTTGGTGGTGTCTTGCTAGGAACATTGCAGACATGATTAAAGATGAGGTAACATAGAAGGGGTCCTAATCCAGTATGACTGTTATCCTTATAAAAAGGGAAATTTGGACACATACACACAGGGAGAGCATCATGTGAAGACCGGAGTTTTGCTTCCACAGCCAAGCAACTACTAGAAGCCAGTAGAGAGTCCGTGAACAGATCCTTTCTAGCTCCTTCCGAGGGGGCATGGCCCTGCTGGTATCTTCTTCTCAGACTCTAGCCTCCTGAACTGAAGACAATAAATTTCTTTTGTTCCAGCCACTCAGTTTATGGTACTTTATTACAATAGCCCTAGCAAAGCAATATGGCCCCCACAGGCCATTTTCTCTGTGTTTGTAGAGGTGGTGCAGAAGGGCAACTGTCTGAGACAGTGACCAGACTGAGATGCCCTGTGGAGGTACTGTGGTCACTGCTGCCTCCCTGGTCCCAGCATGCAGCCTGGCCAAAGTCAGGGCTTGTCAAGCCTTAGAACTTGTCAAACAGTTTTTTTTTTTTGGACTTGATGATTTTTTCCTTATGTGTATACCAGTGTAGCCACCACCCAAATCAAGATATAGAATATTGACCAATATTCTGGCTTCTGTCACCAACAGTAGTTTTGCCTGTTCTTGAAATTCACATATACGGAATTACATAGTATGTATTCTTCTGTGGCTGATTTCTTTTGCCCAATATTATTCATAAGACTGATGCATCTTGTTGAATATAGCTTCAGCTCATTAAAAAAATATGTGTGTAGTATTCCTCTGTACAAATGTATCAGTTTGTCCATTCTACCATTAATGGACATTTAGGTAGTTTCCAATTTTTGGCTCTTATGAATAAATCTGCTATAAACGTCTGAGTGTTTTGTGGAACTTATGTACTTGTTTCCCTTGGAGTAGAATTGCTTGGTCATAGAGTGGGTATGTTTCACTGTGGTAGAAATTGCCACACAGTTTTCCAAAGTGGTTGAACTAATTGACATGGCCCCTCCCTCACCCCAGCAATGCATGAGAATTCCAACTGCTCTGTATCTTGATATTTTCAGTCTTTTTATTTTCAGCCACTCTGGTGGGTGTGTAGTGGTATCTCATTGTGATTTTAACTTGAATTTCACTGGTGGGTAGGGCTGTTGAACACCTTTTCATATACCGATTGTCCATTTATACCTGAGTCTTTCGTCCCTTTTTTAAAATTCTAGAGTCTTTTTATCTTATCAAAAATTTACACATACACACACAGACACCAATGATCACTTTAGATTAAAAGTTATTTTGATCCTATTAAATAAAAGCAATTTTTCTCTTGTCTTAGAAAATGACCCCAGACCACATGATACAGGACACATACATTTTCATATGTATGCTGGGCCCCCTATTTTCACATGCTTGACCCGAGCATTCTCTGGACTGGGCTCCAGAGCAGACTTCAGCTCAGTTTGGTTGAGCCAGGGGCAGGGGAATGGCAGTAAGATTCACCTGTTTCCTCTTCCCTGCAAAATGTATTGAATGCCCATTGTCCCCATGGACCAGGGTGGGTGGGAAGCACAGAGCAAGGGGCCCAGGGCAGAAACAACCCCATATGGTTATTTTCTACAGGTGGGCTCCCACAGCCAAGCTGGATGCCCAGTGTTTACTGCGTGTTTGCCAGGTGGCGGGTTCTCAGCACTGAGAGATGGGTAGGACACCAGCTTCATCCTGAGGGAGCTCACAGTCAAGAAGAGGAGTTGACAAGGGAGCAAGGAGCATGACCTGTGTCATAAGTGTCACCTCTGTAAAGAGCGATGTTTGGTCAGGACACTGTGGCAGGAAGGCTGGAGCTCCCAGCTCTTGATGGCTTCCAGGGACATCTTCACAATGGAGCTGATGCCTCAAAGAGCTGTCCTTGAGGGATGAGCATGAGTCACCTGGCAGAGAGTGGCAAGAAGGACATTCCAGGCAGGGGCTCAGTACAGGGATTCCCAGCAAGTGAAAGTCTTGTGGCTGGACTGTAGGGTGTGCTGGGGGACAGGGCATAGCTACTAGTATCCACAAAACAGCACACTGCCTGGCCTTTGGTGGGCACTAAAAAAGTGAAGAATCGATCCTCTCACCTTACCTTGAAAACAAGTCTCTAAAAAAGAGCAACTTCTGGTTCTGCACTGTTTTTCTTTTTCTGGAGTTGGGACCTAGTAGACAGGAGATGAAGGAATATGGTCCCCCCGAATGCCCAGTTTTCAGGGCCTGGAGGGGAGAAGCAGGGCAGGAGCTCTCAGAGCAAGGGTGCCATGACCAGGGTGGGCCATGTCTTGGTAAGGCCCAGGGTCTGGGTGGGCTGGAGCCATACTGCACATGGGAGGGTTGCTGATGGCCATACCTGAAGGCCTTGGCCTGACAGAGGAAGCTCCTGGCCTTGGCAATCTCCTGGGCCAATCTCCTCAAATCATCTCCTTCAAATCCTGGCAGCATGGGATCCTTGAAAAGGGGATATGAGCACGAAGTTAGAGCCATTAAATGGATGTGACTTAAAAACTCAAGATCTCAGACGAGTTTTAGAGCTAATTAAATGCAGCCTCCCACCCAGTGTAGGAAATCTGTGGGCCTCAGTTTGCATGTCTCCAGGGACAAGGAGCTCACCACCTGCCAAGGAAGTCATTCTGCAAATGGGACACTTTGAGATAAGATGTCTGAGAGTCTAGGGAGAGGGTGGTGGCAAACCAACAGGGTCTCTGGACTTCCTGAAGTCAGTGCCTCTCTGCCCAGGAGAAGAGAAGTGATATATACTCCATATCGCACTGTTATGATCCCACTGTGCACCCAGAAACTATTCAAAGAAGCTGATGTGATTAAGTATTAAACTGAGAACTTATACAATATTGTCACATTTGTTTTCCTTTGTGGTGAATATTCATCACTTTTACTTGTTTTGCTCTCTGTAGTATTTGTATTGTTCCTTGTATTTTCTGTTCTTTGTATTATTTGTCCCTAGAAGAGGTACTTGGATAAAGAAGTCATTCAAAGCACTTGACGTCAAAAATTATGCTTTGTCTTGTGACACTTTAACCTCCAAAAAGAAACCTGGAATTCTGATTGGTTGTCTTACTTGATAATTTGTTGCCTTGGACTGTTATAATTGATAGCATTATATCCCTAAAAGGATAAATAGGTGCATAATTTTTCTGTCAGATCAGAAAAGGGTCATTTGTACTTTCCTCTTACCACACATGTGTGATGGAACCTATGACTTTACCACATTTATTACTTACTAGATCCTTTGATTACCTGATTTTCAATGAATTTCACACAGGGAGACCACAATATGTAGGAATTAAAGTATAGAGCTTAAAAGCTAGATGTCTGAGTTCCGGCTTAAGGTATATTCCCAAACCTTGCTGAGCCTGTTTATTCATGTTTAATGGATATAATAATGGTTGGGAAGATTAAATACTCCATGAATGTAAATTGTTCTATGATTAAATGACACCCCCAAGCTCTGCTTCTTTCACAACCTTGAGGAGGGTCAGCCTAAAAGGAAAGCAGTGGGGAAGTGCAGCCCTTTCGAACCAAGAGACAGAGTCTTACAAGAGACACAGAGACCTTTTCAGCTAGAAGGAGAAAACCACGTTGCTGACATTTCATTGAGCCATTTCAATAGACCTCACTCAGTAGCTGTGCAACCTACCCTTTCATCCACGAAGTCTTTGGTCAAGAGGCCATGAATTTTGAAGAGTGTGTCCTCACCAACGGGGCAGTGGTAGCGGCCCCCTGTGAGGGAGGCCAGATTTCTCAGGAAGCTAACCGCTGCCCTGTGGGCAGAGGAGCAGAGGTTGGGGCAGACCCACTGACTGGCAAGACAGTTCCCCACATGCCCCCAGCCCATGGGGAAGTCAAATCTGTGGAGCAGTGAGCCTTGGACCCTGAGGGTCTGTGCCATGGGACCATGTCAGCCACTGCTCCAAGCCCACCTCCCAGCCAGTTTATGGGCTGCTGCAGGAAGTGGTTTCACTGTGTTAGTGTCACCATTAGGCCCCAACTCCCTGAGAGCACAAGGCCAGCATGCTCTGGCCCCTTCCCTTTGTTGGGCATCTATCCAGGGCCCACTTTGTGTTAGGCCTGGATGGGACACAAGTGTGAACTTTATGGAGCTCATGGTTCAGACAGAGAGGTAGAATAGGCACCTATGTCATCACTGTTCTGCCAATGGTACTGTTTCTCAGAAGAAGCTGGATCTTTCTTGTCTGATACAGGAGCTTTTATGGTGATTGTTTATAAAAACAACCATAACAATGGTACTTTAAACTCTTCTCCCCTACATAGTCACAACTGTGCTTCCAAGACAGATCAGGTGGCGGATACAATGGGTGACTGCAGGAATTGGTTCAAATCTGTTTCCATGCTGGAGAGAGTCAGGAGAGTGGGCCCTGCTGATGGGCAAGTTGGGGCAGGTAGAGGGGCTTTCATCTGGTATAACGCCTGTGCAGGCCCTCCTAATTTCTGGCTTATTGACCAGGGCTCAGGAGAGATCAGGGTCTAACATGAATCCCTGTATTAGGTGAGGGGCCCAAGCCAGGCTCCTCAGTGGCCATGGGAAGGGCACACAGCTTGGCCCCAGCTCCTTGCTGCCCACCTGCCGCTGCCGTTCAGGGAAATGGTGTGCACTTTCACGTCTCTTTCCTCCATGACTCTTTTGACCTCACTTAGAATAAGGCTGCAGCTGGTATCCGGCTTCCCGTCAGTCAGAAGGTACACTCCTTCCACATGGGGAAAACTGAAAGCTTTCTGAAAGAGTGTGGGCAGGTTGTCTGACTTAGGGTTAGGCGCTAGCCACCAATGGCAAAACCAAGGCCTGCTATCCCCAAGGAAAGGTGTCTGAATGGAATCCACCGACTTGTCTGAGAGACTCCCCTTCAGGCTACCACAGTCCAAGGGAGTTGCCCAGGAGGAGGAGCATGGCCTATGTCCTAGCTGTTAACCCCAACCAAGTCACTTAACCTCTCTGAGCCTCTGTTTTTATCTACACAGTGAGAACAAAGAGAATCCCTTTCTCACTGGGTTGCTGGGAAGATGAAAAGAAGTATCACTCAGTAATTCTAAAACATCATGCAATTATCAGCATAGGGGGTGATGGCATTCCTGTTCTGCTATGGGGCCGTGTTCAGCAGTAGAACTTGCCAGCAGTGCCTGTAAGACTGAGGTGCTCCCCTGAGCGTGAAGGTGGGTCACCCATTGCATAGCCTCGTGACATGCTGCATCTGTGGTCTCCACCAGGGTGTCTTGCCATGGTTGTAGGCCCTCTGCAAAGCTGAGCAGGTTAAAACTGAGAAGGTGGGAGAAGAAGTGGGGGTCAGAGAAGGGGAGAATGAGATGGGTTAGCACTTGCCAGTCTATACTGCTTTCCACGAGAAATAACCCCTGTGAGGTCTGCTCATGCTTATTGGTGAAGCCCCTCACAGTGAATGCTGTGGCCCCTCTGGGAGAGGGCTGGGAAGAAGGCACACACTGAAGATTCTGGATGCACACAGAAATAGGTTTTAGTCCCACCTCAGCCACTTACTGGTTATGTGATCTTTGGTAAATTACCTAACCTCCTAGTTTCCTTTTCTGAAAGCTGGGCATAATAAAAGCAATACCTCATAGGGTCACTGTGAGGACTGAATGAACTTATGCATGGAAAGTGCTCAGCACACAGACAGTGCTCAACAAATGTTTACTCTTCTTAATATTATGGTAAGGGCAGGTCCCAGCCTAGGACCAGAGTCTCCTGCTGTCTCCTTAGGGTCAACCCTTCCAGGTAGAGAGAACAAGCAATCCCAAAACCTCTTAAAAAGTCAAGTTCAGCTATAATCCACAATTCAAGGCTACCTGGTGGCTCCTTTGCTCTGCTTGTAATTGTCCCAGGGCCTGAGACAGATTTCTAAAAACTGCTTTACTTCTGCAGCAGAATGCAGTGTTCTTTTCTGCCCAAACATGCTATTCAGAAGAGCATTTCAGAAACCAGGCTCTTTGGAACTGTGAGGACCGGGTGCCTTTGGCCAGGGAAGCCCTCGGAACTACCCCTTTGACCTTCCTGACCCCCACCCACTTCCACCCCTGCCCCTTACCTGTCACAGTGCTTCCGCAGCTGCTCCCAAATCAGCAGAATCAGCTCTGTCTTCACCTGCTGCAGGTAGCGGCCCATGGACCCTGACGTGTCCAGCAGGATGCACACTTTGCTCTCCAAAATGGCCCCAAACAGTCGGCGGCTCCCTGCTCCAAGTTGGGTGGGGGCAGAGGCAGAGGCAGAGAAGGAGTGAGGGGTGGCTCCCCCTGGGTGGTTTTCCTCACTGTAGGTGACAAGTGGCTGGCTGGTCCGTCTTAGGAATCAGACAGTGGAAACATTGCAAGCCATCCAGCCCTGTCATTTTACCCTCTGAATCTTCTCTAACTCTGCCTGATTCATCCACCGTCATCATCACCACCCTCTTCCTGCTGCCTGAATCCTTCCCCTGGGCTACTACTAGGTTACCCTGATTCCACTCCATCTTCTCGACAATTTATATTACACCAGAGGGATTATTGCCAATGCTATCTTGATCACTTTATTTAAAACTGTATAATGGCTTCCCGTGGCTCTTAGGATAAAGGACAAAGTCCAGGTCATGGCCTCAACTCTCTGGGATGGTCTCACCCTCAGCCATACCAGCCACCTTTCAGTCTTTGTACTCAGCATCCTCCCTGGCAGCACCTCAGTGGTTCCTCTCTTTGCCTAGGTAACATCTACTCATTCTTCAGATCTCAGCTTAAATACCACCTCCTCAAGGAAGACCTCCGTGATCTTCCTGCCCAGGCCCACTGCCCCATGCCTGTTTCCTTCCTTCACTTGTCACCATTGTGACATTGGGCTTGTGTGTGAGATTCTTTGTTTAATGTCTTTCCTCCTAGGCCATATGCTCCATGGGCTGGGGACCATGTTAGGTGCAGCGTTCCACCATCTCCCCAGCACTCGGTGGGAGAGCAATACTTATTTGTTGGATAATGAATGAGTGACTCAGTGAAGAACGTCCAGGTGTGTTTGGAAGTATTGGATGGTGCTGGGGTGTATGTGAGGTGGGGGATTCCGTACTACAGGAGGAGGCGCCATGTCACTTATCTTTAGATTCCTCCCAGTGGCAAATGGGGACTGGGAATGGGGAGAGGCACACAACCTCTTTGTCCCCTCAGTCAGCCTCTAGCCTGACAACTACACCTGGAGCTTGTAGCCCCTCCAGCAGGTTTGGAAAGCAGCAGTCATCCCTGTACCCTGCTGCCCATGGGCAGTTTCACCAGGTTCTACTGCAGAGAATTGGACCTATTGAATTAGCACAAGACCCTGAGTGGCTCACACAGGGAACTCTACAAAACCCTCTCTTCTTCCTCCTATTGTCCCAGGAACCCTCAGGCTCCAAAGCCTAAATACCCTCCTACCTAATTCTAGCTGTTTGCCTGCTTTCTGGGACTTGAAGTTTCAGAGCACCTCTTGATATCAGCCTGCCCTCCTCTGAGATGTGAGCCTGACACTCCTCAGCCAGTCCTGTCCATTCGCCTTCCATGGAGGGGCCTTGGTGCACTTTGTAAAGAAGGCTGAGGGGATTCTTCTCCATCAGGACCCCCTCCCATATCTACCTTTATGGATCACCAGTGCTGGGGCCCAATCAATACTAAACTGAGTCTCTAGAGGGTGAGTCCTCAGTCACAGCCAGGAAGGAAGGCATGGAGCATGGCCTTCCAGGACAGGCCTGGACAGGCCTGGGCTCTTGCTCTCTTTGGCCCATGCTCTATCTTCCTGCAATCCAGCACCTTGTCTGACCTCAGAACCCAGAAGTCGTGTTGTACCTGGATGACCCTCCTGCCCTCATCCCTGACCTGATGCCTTGTGTGCCTGGCCTGGGAAGGACTGACCCTGGGATCCCTGGAGCTGACCTCCCAACTTCCTCTCATGCCCCTTCACCCTGCAGGCCAGCAGGCAGGCTTACCCGACAGCAGCCACTGCAGCCTCTGGATGTAGCGTCTAATCACCTTCTCCAGGCACCTGATGTATGCTTCTAGCTCTCTGGGCATCCACTGAATGTGTCTCACCATGCCCTGGATTCAGGAAAGCGAAGGCAAATTTCCCCCATACCCCCATCATCCATTGAAATAGTGTAGTTCACTGTGGTTGATAATTTCTAAAACATCTGTTAGGCATACATGTTTGTTTGTTTAGAAGCTTCCTTTTATTAAACTACTAAATCACTAGAGGGAGTCAGAATGATGGTTTTGTGGCAAATGTGGTCATTATAATAATAAAAACCATAGTATCTCCAAATTTTAAAACATAAAACTCTTAATGATAGGATGGGAAGTCCATAAATTTCCAACTAAAAGACAACCTCAGATGGAGAGGGGGGCAGGATAATAAAACTCCCATAAAACCCTTCTGGTGGGTAATCTTGAATGTGGTGGCTATTTTTAGCTTTCCCCAAAAAAGGGCAAAGAGAGAAAATGGGGTTCTTTTGAAAAGCATTTTCAAAAGAAAGTTTTTAAAAAGATTCCCATTTGTACTAAATGTACTTGTTCTAGTATCAAAACTAGACATTACCCTCAAACTAGAAAGTAGAGAAGAGACCCCCTCACCTCCTGTCATGACCCCTGTTCCCCACCATCCTAACAGGACCACTGTCAGTATTAGGGCACAGAATTCTTACTGGTGAGTTCTTCAGCCACTGCCCTATGTTCTCAGCGGTTGTTTCTAATTCTTATTCCAAGGAGCTCTTCTAACCCTGGAATGTGATCTCAGGCACTCTGAGGGGTTGGCTTTTCTTCCTACAGGATTCTGCATCACCCAGTCCCTGAGGGCAGTCCCACTTGGGGGATGGAGTTCTTAGAAGCAGGATTAGAAGCCACCATGCCTACCTTAACATGGAGTTCTCCCCAACACACACTGCCATTTATGGCTGTGAAGAGACAGGAATTGGGAGAGAAAAACAACAAGAATTATGACTTACATTGATCTCTATGCTGGGGAAGTTGCTGCAGTATTTGGCTGATGCCAACCTCTGTGCTGACTTTTGATGAGTACAAATGGGACCGATGTATCTGGAAATCTGCATCTTCAGCTTTCTTAGCCCATAATTTGCTATCCACTTTAGAATAAAGGGAAGAACTATTATCTTGGGCAATTCAGGCTTAATTGAATGGTTGTCTGACTATTAAAATCTCATATTCAAAATCTGTCTTGTGTTTAAAATGTGGGGTTTGTAGGTTCCCACTGAGCATCCATCCCCTGAGATTCCCTCCCCTGTGCTGGGGAGAGATGCACAAGAAATATGGGGAACAAGAGACAAAAGTTACTAAGCACCTGCTACTCTCTAGTCTGGTGGACAGTGTTGTTTTCTCCAATATCCACTTCGACCATCTCCCACAAAATTTAAGTGGAAACCCCTTACTGATCTAAAGTTCAGACTCTAAACCAGTTAGGATAATCTCTGTCTCCTAGTCATAACAGGAGATAAGAGAAAGGGCAGGCTAAAGGCAATCAGGTGTGGCATCCAGGACTGGCCCAATCAGAACCAGGCTCAGACTTGTATTGAATTGTTGCAGGAAGATGTTCTATCTTGTGGATATGAACAAGAAGGGGGATTTCTGTCGCTTGCAATTAAAAGGATATGATGCCACCAAGTACTTTACACAAAATACATTTCAATGAGTCATCAATTCTACTAGACAGGTACAACTGCCTTTCTCTTACAAATGAGGACATTGAATGTAGCTAAGTGGCGTGCCCAAAGTGACCCACCTAGAAAGTGGCAGACCCAGGTTGCAAGCATAGGTCTTTTTAAACTTTCCCTATATGCCACATGAAGCGGTCATTCTAAGCAGATTTATCCCTGCTTAGAAGTATGCCCACTCTCTTAGAAACAGTGGTTGGTGGAAGAAATTATTTTTGTGCGGGCATGTGCTGGTGCAGACAACTTAATACCTCTTGACTTGAGCAAATTATATCCTTTCTGGGCAACTCAACAGAAGACATAGACCTTCTTATGACCCTTCCTTGAGGGTACTTCTTGTACACCGAGCCTGGAGAAAGAGGGTAAGGTTACCTTGTACTCCTTTCTTCCCTCCTCCCCATCCCTGCTACTGCTCTCTTCTTCGTGTCAATTTCCCTGTCAATCAAGTCAGTTGTAAAATTCTCTAAGTGTGGTCGGCTTAGAGGTAGAGGGGAAGCTGTTAGGAGGATCAGGGGAAGCTGTTCTGGGACTGCCTGCCTCCACACCTCAATGAATAGTTACTGGGATTTGTACCTTTGCACAGCAAGCAATCAGGCTTGCCAAGGGCACTCATCTCCACTCCCTCCCCAATCAGCCTCAGAGCTGAGGACACTGCCCTTGAGGATAGAATGTGAGTTCTGCATGCAGGGACCTCTGGAGATCAGTTACTGATTTTTCTTACTCTCTTGTCAGTGTTAAAACTTTCCATGTCCATTTCTCTGGTTTGGGAGACTTTACTGGTTGGAGGATAGTCCTGCTCCAGAGACACTGCTACCCAAGTCCTGGGGCAGCCGGAGAGGTCTGCCTCCCTGGGGGCCTGCTGATCCGACAGGCCCCACAGGGTCCAGAAATGTATGAGGTCTCCAACTTACCCACGGTATTCCCTTTCTCCATATAAAACAGTGAGAGAGATGTCTCTGCTTTCCTCGACTTGGTCTTCCTGTGTTCTGCTGTCCCATCTTTCACTGGCTGGGCTACAACTGAAGGACATTTGGCCCATTGGCTGAAGCAGCCTCATGGGTTCCCGGTGAAGCTGCATAGCTTGGCTTAGAGACTTGTCAATTTCAGCTATGCTCTGCCCTCAAAATGGGGATCCAAGATGGCTTTGAGGTCCACCCTGAGTTTTCTGGTCTCCGCTGGATCAGTAACAGCTAGAGCTGCCATTTACCAAGCCCTGATACCCACCAGGAATGGCGCTAAGTGCTTTCCTTACCCTGTGCCATTTTATCCCCATTCCCTGGTTTACAGATAAGTAGGACTCAGTCAGTGAAAGTGGAGCAAAGATTCCACCCAGGTCTTGCTGACTCCAGAACTCTGCTCTGACCCACTCTGCTATGTCTTTAACATTAGAAATAAGATACATGGTTTTAGGGTCTATGAGTGGAGTAGTTTCATCAAAATACCAATGCCCTGTCATGACCAGTTGGCACTGGTCATTATCCTTGGCCCCTAGACCTGAATTTATTTATCACTAAAATGGAGAACTAATAGATTGTCTGTCACAGAGGATTGATTTTTGTAGGCTTTAAAGAGGACAGTCTTAGCAGAAGGGCTGGCACATGATCAAGACTCACAATCGTTATTAATACATGTCTCAGCTGTGCTCAGCCCTCACCCACCAGCCTGACTGCAGCCCCGCCTTACCTGGTGGGCTGACTGCTTTACCACTGAGTGGGTGCCACGGCAGAGTTTTTGAGGGTGCACTGTTCTCTCTGTCAGGGTCATCTTTAAGGCTCTAGAAAACAGACTTTCCCATTAGTGGCCAGTTTGGTGGCAGGCAGTATCCTAGTCACCCATATCTCAATCTGTCAACTAAGAACTTTGCAGGGAGGCACCTAAGGGAGTGGATGACTCAGACATGTTTGCCAAATCTCCAATGGAAGATTCAGAAGAGACTCTGGGTTTTGAGGTGAAAAAGCACAGGGGTGAGGGTGGTGGTGGTGGTGGTGGTGTGGTGTGGTGTGGTGTNTAATGAGAGAGAGAGAGAGAGAGAGAGAGTGAGTATGCTAGGACAGCTATGGGAATCTGCCAGAACTTTCTTCACCTGCCCCTCTTCCTACTGGACTGGGTTTTCTGGGCTCCAGAATGTCAAGCAACCATTCAGGTAACTTTTGTAGGCATCTCAGTTTTAAGGGAGGAGTCCCCTCATTACTGGTACAACTGGAATGTGGTGATGGTTATACAAAGTCCCTGGGGCCCTGGACTACCTCACTCCTCTGGGTGAGCTGCTGTGAAAAAGGGCTATTGCTGCCACCCCGGGGAGCCCCCAGTCCTGGCTTCAGGAGGCCTGCTTGAGGCCGTGGCATGGCCTAAGCCTCTTCACACCACATCAGCTCAGGAACCACTGAAGGCCCAAGAAGCAGACCTGAAGATTCTGGGGTCTCATCCCAGAATTTGGGAAGGCAGAAGAGGGTGATGTCTCTGGGCTGGCTCCTGGAACCCGGTAGAGTTCTTTGAATGAGGGCTGTGTGGACAGAATCTCTGGGAAATGCAGCCCACAGCTGAGAAGCAGGTCCTTCAGTGGTGCTCCACCCCCTGGGGGCACCACAGGACACTCACCACTGAGCACCCTGCCCCAGCCCTGCAGGCCCTGGGGTCTGGGGCCCTGGCTCAGGCCATTTCAACATCTAGGAAAGACCAGGAGACAAGGTGGAAACAAAATCCTCTGCTTGTTATTAGGGAAGGGGAGTCAAACCATTCTGGCCACCGAAGAGGCTGTGGGCTTGGAAGGACAGAATTTCTTGGGCTGACTTCTTTGCTTGAGCATCTTTGGCTTTTCTTTCAGGAGGCCTGTACTTTCCAGTTCTTTTCTGGACTGGTTCTTCAGGGAGGATACTAGTAAGGCACACTGCAATGGGGATGGGGAGGGTTAGCAGCACCCCAGTCATGGTGTGTGTCCAGGCGGGGGACAGACACACATACATGCACACACAGCAGAGAGGCTGCATCTACTGGGGCCTTTGGACTCCTCTTTCTGTACCTAGCATGACTCCTGGGGCCAACTGCACTGGAGATCAATCTTATTAATAATAAGTACCATGTATAGAAGGCCTGGGATGCATCAGACACTTGGCTAGTTAATGGCCGGGGGTCTCAAACTCTCTTGCCAACAAGACATCGCAATTATGCTGGTAGGGCAAATACTATCTTATTCCCATTCTACAGATAAGGAAAGCAAAGCTCCTTGATTTTAAGGGACTTGCCTAAAGCCACACTACTAGTATGTAAAGGACCTTCCATTCAAACCCAGGTGGGTCTGTTTCAAAGCTTGTGCTCTATGTGGATCTGGCATCCTCACAGGCTGGTCCCTAATATCCAGAGCTGATTCTGGATGCTGGCAGAATAGTAGTATAATACTTGGCTCCTTTTGTCTACACATTTCTCAACTGCCTGAGAGTTTCTCCAGTAATTATTCTCAGAGTACTAGAAGATACCATTGAGTATAAATACATCCTAGGAAGGGTGCCCATTAAGACTTTAAGAATGAGTTTATTGGGACTGATGTGCACTTGAGAAAGGGTAAAAAAAAAGCGAAAGAGAGGCCCTTTCAGGGAGAAGAGCTAAGGCATGGTAAGGGAGGGCCACAGATCTGCCAACCAACAGACATGGAGGAAAAGAATGTGAAGATGGGCCCTGCCCTCCCAGGGGTTCACAATGGAGTTGGGGAGGTGAGTCACCCTGCAAATGGTGGCAACTAAAATGGGAGCCAGGCTGAGTCTCCTTCCTACCCCACCTTGACCACAGCCACTGACACACTCTATCCATCCCTGTGGCTTGAGCTGCTTCACATCTGTCTTCAACACTTATCTTTTTCCCCCTACCTGAAGGACACCCCCACTGGTTATCTCACAGGCTCCACAAACTTGCCTTCATCCCAGGCCCACCCTCCCTGCATTTCCCTGGGATCATTTCTCATTTTCTCTTTCTTGGTTAATGGCACCCCTGTTTCCATGTGCCCCCAGTGAGGAATGTAGAATTACTCTGGGATTCCTTCTTCCTCACCCCCTACATGCAATCAGCCACAAGTCTGGTCAATTCAATCTTAAATATTCTCATGCCTATTTCCTTATTTCCATTCTCATTGTTCCTGTCATGATTTAGCCCCTTTCTTCCTCTCTGATTTCACCTTGAACTGCTCTAAGAAAGTAACATTTTAGTGACTCTTGAATAATAAGGAGCAATCCCCAGACAACCAGGGAGGGGAACAGCAGGTACAAAGGCCCTGAGTTTAGAAATGAGCTTCACGTGTACAAGGAACTCAAAGGAGGCCAGGATGGATAGCACACAGATCTAAACCAGTGACTGACAGAAAACCCCATTTTCATCTGAAGGCTTGAGAGTCTGTGGATCAGGACATGAGGGAAGCAGGTATGGGATGAGCCATGTCCCCTAAAAAGACATGTTGAAGTCTGAGCCTCTGGTATCTGTGAATGTGACCTTACGTGGAAATAGGGTCTCTGTAGATCTAATTAAGATGTAAGTTAATAAGGTCATACTGGAAAAGGGTCGGCTCTTAATCCAGTATGACTGGTGTCCCTATAAAAGACAGACAGAGAGGGAGGAGAGCCACGTGAAGCTGGAGGCAGGGACTGAGCTGTGCTGTCACAGGCCAGGGAGCACCAAGGGCTGCTGGTGACAAAGACTTGTTCCCTGACAAAACTGTCACTAGACTCCTCTGAGGCCTCTTCTCAACTAGACTTTGACTTTGACCTGCTAAACCCAGTTTTAGCAAAGAAGCCTGTTAAGTCAGTTTAGCAAGAATCCCCCTACCCTTGATATCTAATCGTTCCTCTTAGTGATTTTCTGTCCACTGACTCTCACTCTGCTCATTGGCCATAAAACTGCAGCTGTCTTTGCTGTATTTGGGATTAAGTTCCATCTGACCCCTGCTGCAGTAGTCTTGGATAAAGTCTGCCATGACATTTTTAACAAGCATCCAGTGCAATGTTTTTTCTTTAACACTGGTCACCACCAGAAGAGGGAAGGAGGGATTCTACCAAAGCCTTCACATGGCCCTCTGACACCTTAATTTCAGACTCCTAGTCTCTGAAACTGAGAGAATAAATGTCTATTGTTTTAAACCACCTAGTTTGTGATACTTTAGATGGCAGACCCAGGACACTAATACAGAAGTGTAGTCATTTGCCCCACACCTAAGGCATACCTTTTGGGAGTAATTGAGAGCCTTTTCCATCTCAGACATGATGGCATTGATGTCATCACTTTCATAAATACCTGGAAACAAAGCACATTGTGAGCATGGAAAAGGGGTATAGATCCTAGAAAGCATCCATATCTGTACACATGAGGTCCATGTAGAGGTGACCTGAGCCTGCAGGGCAGGGTGGGGTCTTCATGGGCTGAGCTGACCAGCCCCCAGCCCTACACTGTCCAGGGGTGATGAGGATGGGCACTTAGCCAACAGTTGCTAGTCCAGTGAATTATAAGACCCACCTTGGGATTATCTAAAGTATCTAACATCTGTAGTGAACACTAATGACTTATTTGAGAGGGACTAGAGTGTAATGACCAAGAAGACAGACCCTGAAGTTGACCTGCCCGGGTTCAATTCCTGGCTCCATCACTTTCTCCCCAGGGTGTTTTTGGGCTCTGTGTCTCTACTCCCCCATCTGTAAAATGGGGATAATACTAACCTACTTCATAGGGTTATTGTGATGAATGAATAATAGTGTATGTAAACTGCTTAGAATGGCTCCTGGCATATAGTAACTATTTTGTAAGTGTTTGCTGTTTATTAGTAATAATCACCAATAATAACTTAAATGTATATGCCCAGCACTTTTCATGGAAGAGCTGGGAATCAAGGCCCAGAGCTCCACACGCAGCTGTGCCACTGACTTTGCAACCACCTCATGTCCTTGGGACTCATTATTTCATCTGTGATGCACTAGTGTGTCCCAAACCTCAACCACTCCCCTCTCACTGTCACAATTTTGTCCTATCTCATATCACCTAAACCATTATTTACTTCATATTTTTAGTTAATTCACTTTTATTTACTTAGAAGTATATATATGTAATATATATGAGATATAATTAACATAACATATTCAGGTATACAATATTTTGATATTTGTCAATATTGCAAAGTAATCATTAAAATGTCTAGTTCACATCCTTAAAAGTTAAAAAAGAAATTTTTGTCACCTGCTGACAACAGAAAGCTAGCATTTTTAATAAAATGCTAAAACTAACAAATAACTATTTAGAGGAGGAAGAAAACATTTTCTTCTACCTGACTGGATTCTCCAGCTGGGGACATGGAAATTAAACTGACAAAAGACAGAATAATAAGGGAAAAACAGAGTTTAGAAGTGTGAGCAATATGCCTAGGTGCAGGGGAAACTCAGTGATGAATAACTCCAAGGGCATGGTTAGAACTTGGTGCTTATATGGCACCTCAACAAAGAGCAATGCATTTGTAGAGAAGTGGTAAGACAGAGGAAGGGGACTTAGGCTTTTAGGAGCAATGAGAAGGAAACTGTATGGGTGGAAATAACAGAAGACAAGGGTTGTTTTAGTAAGGTTTGTTATATACATTCCTGTGGTGCTAAGTCTAGAGTTGTCTCCAGTTGTTAAGAGTCTAAGAGTCATCATCATCTTCCTGGCACAGAGGGGAGGATGATGCCTAAAATGGAAACTTATGTCTTGCTTTTAGGCAAGTGAGGGGCAGAGGGTGGGTAGGGAAGAGTGCTTTTTTACCATTTGTTTCTCAATTGTCTTCAGCTCAAAATAGTCCTTACATCAAAGTGGAATATTTTGGGGTGGCATATCCTGATCCCCTACAACTTTCACACACACAAAAAAAACTGTTCTGGGTTCCACGTACAAGTGTCTTGCCAACAACCTGCTGTGAACATATCACCTTTTGTGAAATGCTGAACTAAAGGACCTTTAGGGTCCTTTCTAGCTCTGATGTTCTAAAACATTTTTAACTAGCTTTACTTTTTTGCTTCTTTGAAAAATTTTGGGGTAAAATATACATAAAATTCACCATTTTAACCATTTTTTTAAGTATGTGGTTCAGCGGCACTAGGCACATTCACATTGTTGTGCAGCCATCACCACCATCCATTTCCAGAATGGTAGTTTTACATTTTAAAATGGGATTTTCACAGGCTGCTTTTCTGGAATACATCTGTTGGAATAGGCAGCTATATTGGTACTGAAACAACTGGAAAGAAAGAGGTGGAGGGACCAGCCAAAACTCACGCACCTGTGTCTCCAAACCAGTGGAAGCGGCCGCCAGCAGCCCGGGTGACCTCCCTGTAGGCAGTGGCCGTGTCGGTGCTGCTGGCATAGCAGGCAGGGGGCACAGTGTCCATCTGTGGCTCGCCCATGTAGAATAGACACACGTTCAGCTGGAGATTGCAGCCCCCACAGGCCTCAGCCATGTAGGCGCTGATTATGGGCTGTTGGGGAGAGAGGGGGAGAGGCCCACAGCTGAGGGCTCTTGAAGCAGCTGGTTTCAGGTCAGGCCAGCCTAATTGGCTTTCTTGAGGGCCTGCATGTGCCTAGTCTAGTACTTGGCACTGAGGATAGAAAGATCAATGAGTCTGTGTCACAATTTCTGTTATTATCTTAATAAGGTTTGGCTGGGAAGCTGGACCTGAGAGGTTGGTTATACCGAGTGGTCTGTAGATCAGCAGCATTGACATCCCCTGGGAACCTGTTAGAAATGCAGACTCTCAGGCCCCAGGCCAGCCCTTGGGAAACAGGATCTGCCTTTTGATATCCCAGGTGACTCTTCTGTGCAGCAGAGTCTAGTTTGGAAAATCATGCTGGAGAAACCAATTGCCAGGTGTCCACCTAGGGGTAGATGCAGGGTCGCAGGGGATAAGGGGTGTTCAGGTCATGGCCTACCCACCATGTCCTGGTCAGGGATGCCCCCCGTGAAGAGGTAGATGCCCTGTGACTGGTGTTTGTCTTTGTCCTTGAAGTCCACTTCCACGGCCTTCCGCAGGGCGCTGAGGACATTCCTGCTGCCCCCACACTGCAGTGTCAGGGCCCACCTGGGAGTCAGGGAGAGTCATGCTGATGGAGCCCAGCTGTGAGCCCGGGCAGGAGAAGGCAGGGAATGAAAGGCAGTTGTTTTCTGATTGATGCCCATGTCTGTTGCAAGGAGGGATTCTAGAGAGCTACTTCCCAGTGGAGAGGGGGACAGAGCAAACAGCACTGCAGAGGCTGCCCTCAGACCCAGCAGCTGCAGTCCCTGACAAACACCTACCGCCAGGCACACTGTAAGCTGTCATGGCTCACGGCAACCATCTTTGGCCTCCAGCTTTCAATGGTGCTCCCAAACCTTAGAGGGAAGGAAAGAGGGCTGGTTCTTAAGTAGGAGAAATATCCACTGTGCACCCCAGCTCTTTTGGCTTCCCAGGCTTTTAGTAAAAAAATTATGGTTACCCCTGAAGAGGTTAGTATGTCACCATCCCAGGTCAGACATGAGATTTCCTTGCTGGTCACATGTCCCAGTATATTCACAGTGCGAGCAGAGCTGGGGCTCTCAGTGGGACAGGACCAGGACCTGCTGTGGTCAGACTTTCTCCAGATGCATTGATGGGAACATGTGCTGCCTCCCTTTTCCGTGTGAACTTTCTCATCCCCCCAGGGAAGGAGTCATTTATCCCTTTTTAAACATCCCTAGCACATATTTTTCACTATCTGTACTATAATTTCAAAAAATGCATCATCTCATTTTCCCCATGAGACAGAATTTAAATCCTTGAGAAGAGGATTTATTTCTTTTTTCAAACACATTCCCTCTATGGTTCAAGATTGATTCTACCACCTGGGCTGTGACTTCATCATTGCCAATGTCCTCTGAGACTTTGCCCATAGTTACCTCCCTGCCACTCACATTCCTGTCTTCTGCTTTCTTCTTCCCCATCATCTCTGTGTTTAAACCTCTCCATACCTAAAAATAATTTCCTCCTTCTACTGGGGTCCACTCTACAAGCTACTTCTCTCTCTTTCCCCTTCATGGACCAGCTCCCTGGAAAAACTGTGTCCCACCACCTCCTCATCTACTTACTCCTCAACCACTGCCTTCAAGCTTCCATCCTGGGGGCTTGTCTGGCCAATACTAACAACGGCCTCCTATGTTTACTCATGAAAATAGCCACTATACTTGGATAATAAATCCACTATTATAGTTTGATAAAAATTGTAACAATATGCAGAGAATGAAAATTCCTCCCTTTTTATTCCCTAGAAAAAATTTTCTGTTAACTTTTTGATCTACAATCTTTTGGATTAAAAAAACTGCATTGGTGAATACATATTTACAGAAGGAGGAACCTATAGCATATACTACTTATAACCTGCTTGTTTCCTTTCTGTGGGACATACCAATGACATTTTCTAAATGCACTCACATACATCTCCTTCATTCTTTTGAATAGTTGCAGAATACTCCACTGTCAGGATTATTTTGCAGGTTTTACTGATGGTCATGCTTATCCATTACTAGAACTCTGCACTGAACATCCCTACCTTTGAAGTTATCTTTGCACATTCATCTTTGTATTTCCTTCAGATAATTTGTAAAGGCTTAATTGAAGGATTTATATACACTTAAAGAAAAAATACTTAAAAAATTTAATACAAGAGCTATACCAAATTATATTTCTACTAATAGTTTCCAAGAGCTGTCTTTACATTATATCATCACCAGCACTGGGCATTACCAATCTTTTAAATATTTGCCAAACTGAATTGCAAAAACAATTTATCTCATTGTTTTCATATCCATGAGCTCTATTGCCAAATCCAATGGATTCTTTCCTTCTTCCTTCTTACCCTTCCTTTTCTGCTTTTGCAAAGAACTGTTTCTTTCTAAGACCCTGCTCTCCTTGGCTTCCCAACATCACTCCCTCCTGGTGTTCCTTCTACCGTTTGGATTGCTCCTGTCTTGTGACCCATGGGTGGGTCTCGTCCTTTGTACCCTGCAAACATCATACCACGCCAGTTCTGTCTTTGGCGGTCTCTCTCCCTTCCCATCTCTGTGGGTGCAATTCACACATGCAAAACACTACTGATTCCTTGTAAACTCTTATTTCTTGGCTAGAACTTCTAACTGGAGTTCCTAAAAGGGCATCTTCTGAAAATCTTCAAACTCTATATGTTTAAAACCATCTTCCACTTCCAAAATCTGCTCCATCTGGGCGTTCTTCCCTTCACACTCCCTCTTCCCCTAGAGCCAACAGTGACTGTAGTTTATGGATTCTGCCTCCCCGGAACCTCTCACATGAATCCCTTTCTTCCATTTCCATCACTTTGACTAAAGCCCACTCCCTCCTAGTACAGACTATTGCAGTCTTTTAACTGGTCTCCTTCCCTCCAGCAACACACCCCTTCATTCATCCTTCACAGTGTGGCTTGAACATTTTCAGATGCAAATATGATCATATTATTATGTTGCTTAAAATCCTTCAATGCCTATATGTCCTAGGTATAAGAACTCCTGAGCATGTCCTATATAAATCCTCAATTAGCTGTGTGTGTCTGTGTGTGTGTGTTTTGTCAGGCACAATCTCTCTCTCTCTCCCATATCCATACTGAACTACCTGATGGTCCCCCAAAGTTGTGTATTACCTCACACCTCTGCATCTCTGCTCATACTGTTCCCTGCACCTGGAATACCCTTCCTGCCTATTGCCCCCGTTATCCCCATGTACTATGCAAACACCTACTCATTTGTCAAGACTCAGCTAAAGAGTCACTTCCTCTATGAAGATTTCTGACCTTACTTACCCAGGTATCCTGCCTTCTATCTATTTCTATAGAAAACAGTTCATAGCATTTATTTCTTAACATGCCTGTCTCCCACTACTAGGTCATAAGTTCCTTGAGGATAGAAATTGTGTGGATTCACTTACAGCCCCCCAGCACCTCACACAATGACTGGTACATGGCAGGCTTTCAATGAAGTTTGTGGAATGAATGAATGGATGGATGGGTGGATAGATGGATAAATGAACGAAAACACTGCCTAATATGTTCCTCTAAGCATTTTTTCCCTGTAGAATTTAGTAAGGAAAGATTAGGCTTTGGTACAGAATAATATCTAAGACTAACTGCTGATTTAATAGGTTTAGGATATGCCCTATTTGATGTGAAGTTGTGTAAAAATGAATACTTTACATGGGTTCCTTTTCTTTTCCTCTAATTAAAATGGTGTGTAACTAAAAAATATATAAAACTATATATTTAAATTATATATAACATTATATATTTAAGTTTATATATAACTTAGTTATATTAAGATAAAATATGTATGTCATAACCATATATTTAATTTATATAAAAATATAATTTAAATGTTATCATATATAATTTAAATATATATTATATATTAACACTTAATTTAAATGTATATGTTATATATAGTTAAAAATGTAGAGTTACATATATAATTTAAACATAAGAGTTATACACTTAAGTTATAGATAGTCACATATAATTAAATTTGAAAATGGAATCCTAAATGTTTGGAATCTGTGGCTTGCTAGAGCCAAGCTGGGAACTAAGACTGGGGCATGCCTAGGAGCCCTTCTTTTTCTCATTTGAGTTTATAAGCTTGGTAGCCAAATGGGGCAATGGCTGAGTTACTTTATCCTGGCTGATCAAGCAGTATGCTTTGGGGCCACTTATCTTTGCCCCAATGGGACTGTCCTGCAACTATTTAATTATTCAATACCCCAAACAAGATCATTCAAATCAGATAGACCGGTGGCCATCCTTCGATGCTGGGTGCTGGTAACATGTCATGCAGTGACCTACCAGAAACCTCAGCCCCCCACGGCCCCGAACACACACGGCCTCCCCCTGTGGGAACGAGGAGCGTACGCGATAATGTTGAAGCAGTCCTTGTTGGACAGTTGCTCCTCCAGCAGAAGCCGCAGGGAGTGCTGGATATGAATAATGTACATGGAATTGGTCACAGAGGTATCAAGCACGATAACCACCCTAAAAAGAAACACAAGCTTTAAGAGGAGAACCGAATCTCTCAGATAATGTTCATTTTGTTCCATTTTACTTTTTAAAGTTTTTTCCAGGGGAATTTTGCATGCCAAATTCACAGCTGGCCAAAACCTTCTCTCTGGTTTGAGGTCAACAGAAGTGGGTTTACAACAGTAGTCAGAGGGTGTCGTGGAAGTTTCTCGCCCTGGAGGTTCTATCATGGGACCAAGTCTCAGGGTGGAGATGGTTTATGGGCAGGGGCTGCACACAGTGATTTTCATACATTTCCTTGTTTAAAGTACTAGCATTCAATATTATTACAGGTTGGGCATCTTTGTAGGGAAAACAGAAAGCCAGTTAGATGGGTGATAAGGTGTAAATGGGCCTCTGGGTAAATGGTTGTATCTTTTGTTTTAAGATCTCTCTCCCCATTCAGCCTTTTACTTTTATAGCTTCAAATCAAATCTTACATTCCCACCATCTCCCTCCATTCTCATTTTGAGACAGCAAGTGTGGATTGCAAAAGAAAATTCACTGGGTTTAGAGTGGAAGAACTTGGTTCAAGTTCTACTTTCTGTGTGGCATTAGGCAAGCCACAAAACTGCTCTGATCCTTAGTATATTTAAGTATAAACTATTTAAAATAAGACCCCTCAGAGGGTTGCTTTGAGAATTAAGTGACATAATAGTATAATACTTTGTAAGTGGTAAAGCATCAATAAGGTACAGAATGATAATGATGGTGATAAATGGTACCTATTGTTTCTGTCTTCTCAGCACCCATTACCTTTTCTCAAACAGCATCCTAATTTTCCTTTGGGAAACACCTCTGCCTCTATCCATTTGAGTTGGGTGGAGCTGACCCCACCCCAAGCTTTGAGGGTAGGCATTTAACCTTAGGCAATCAGAACATCATACCTCCCAGGCCAGAGTGAATAATAGCTCAAGGATGGGCCCCTTGTCCCAAGCTCTGGGAGTGCTAAACTGGTAGAAAGTTAGTTGAAAGCATCAGGTGGCTATCTTGCCACCTAGAGGGGAAAGCCTGCCTGAAAACAAAGCCATCAGAAGAAAGCAGAGCTGAGAGGGGAAGACAGATTCCTAACATGCATGAACCTCTGGATGGAGCCATGCCTGAAGACAGCTATCAAATCTATTCTAGAATTTTCAGTTATACCTTAACCAGACTTCCTTGTTTTGGTTATTTGCATTTAGTTTTTGTGGCTTTTTAACTGAAACGATCCTGAGTAACACAATGATGATGGTGGTGGTGACTTTCCCCTCCAGGGGTTCTGCTTAGTGATTGCTGATTCTTAATCTAAGTGACGGCTTTTGATGCTTCCAACAGGGAATTCATGAGTTGGATTAGCACTGTGTCACACACCAGACCCATGAAGGACAAGAATACTTCTTAGGGGAAGGTACCTTTTTTCACAGACTGTACCCCAGATTCTTCTGCTGGCCAAAGAGAGCCACTTGATCCGTCGCTCATACATCCGCATAGCTCTGCTAAGCCGTTTCTGCAAACCCAGGTGCCACACACATTGAGTAATTGTGCAAAGAACAGCTGAATAAGGGGTTTGTGGGGGGAAAGGGGCATTTCCCAACTGACTTCTGGGACTGGGTGTCAAGGCCATGGGTACCCAGGAAAGGTAAAAACATTCCACTAAATCATGGATTAAGACAAGGAAGACCAGGACAAGAAGAGTCAAAATATTTCATTGCCTCAAATCAAAGGGAGGAGGTAAATCTTGCCCTCAAATGATTAGAGACTACTTTGAGGCATCCAGGTCCCTGCCTGGAGAAGGGGTGGAGTAAAACTCCAGAGGTGCTCATGGTAGAGCACAGTTTCTGTTTATGAGAGAAAGTTCAGCCAGGGGCTTGGTGTTTCCACATTCCATGGCACCTTCCTCCCACATGCTATATGCTGATTGATTGGACCCATCACTGACCTGGTACTCATAGAGGAAGGGAGGGTCCACATGAATATTCTTCACTGTCCCGTCATGCCATTCAAACTGTACCATTGCCTTCTGCATTCAGGTGTGGCCAGGAGGGGGAGCAGGTGGCCAGAAGTACATGTGGGGAACAATTTTAAGTTTAATTTGGTCACTGGGCTATCCAAATCACATGTGTGAGAGGGAAATGGGCTCTGAGCACATCTGGGAGTGGATTATGCCTCCTTCTTCCTGGGCACTGGAGCTGGCAGCAAAGGGCCCTCTGGACAGCGGTCCCCTGAATGAACCAAGCCTGACAGCAAGCCAGGCTGCCTTTTGGGGAGGCTCTTCTGAACATCAGTCTTGATTACAAGATATCAATGGGGTTGGAGGTTTTGAACTTAAACCTACTGGCCATGGGTTCTTAGGTTTGGAAACCTAGATAGGCCTTCATGGACACTGAAAATCTAATTTGTTAATCCTGTACTTTCATCCTCCACTAAGTGGTCACACCCATGTGTGTAATTATCATTCCATCCACCTACTCCTCCATCTACCTCTAGGATTATCTATCCCTGCTCCATCTCTCTTTCCTTTCTTCCATTTTCCCGCTGATCTTTCTATTCACCCAGTTTTCTTTCCTTCCATTTTTCTATCCTTAATTTTTACTTGCATCCATTCATCTTTTCTCACTCTATCCTGCCTTCCATCCTTTCATTTTCCCTTCCGTCCTTCCATTTGGTCACATTTTCATCTGTCCATCCTTTTACCTATTCATTCATCATCAACATTTCCATCCATCCATCCATCTATCCATCCTTCCTTCCAACCACAGAGCTGTCAAGTAAACATTCACTGATTGCTTACTTGTACTAGATATTGGGGATACAGGGTTGGAAAAGAGAGTTTCTTCTTTTAAAGGGCACATCCTCTGGTGGGGATTTAGACATGTAACAGATCCACGCATTAACAGGAGCTAGAGTAGATGTCTGTACAAGGTACAGTGAGGACACGGGAGCGTGTGTTCTGAGTGGTGTGGAGGAAAGCCGTGCAGGACATGCCCATGGTACCTAATTCGCTCTCTCTTGCCCCACTCCTTACACTTCATTTTCAGATCTTTGAAAACCAGCAGTTAGAGCAGATTTGGTAAGAGTTCTAGATCCTCGGTGGACAGGCTGCATCCCACTCCAGGCCCTTAGGCCCCTGCTCATTAGACTCTGCCTTATGACTCTTATTTCCTGAACATTTAAGAAGGCAAATGCCACAAAGAGCTCCTCTGCAGAGGACTGGGGAGAACTCGGAATCTGAGTTACCTCATGGATAGTTGATGAAACCATTTTCTGGAGAATAGGCACAAATTCCTTCACAGGAGAGAATGCATTGGGTGCAAGAACTTGATAAAGGCTTAGCTTCTTGGCTGTAAAAATAAATAGTGGGTTTGAAGCACTGCTTGCAAAACCCCAAGAGAGTTTATGCCTTGTGGACAGCCACCCACTTGCTGCCCTCTTTGGTTATTTACCTTTTAGGCCATTGATCCGTAGCCATTCTGCAGAAGTCTTTTCCAAGTTTGGGAACTCAATTATGAGGGCAGCCTCATGCTTTGGGGATTTAGGCAAGAGACTTGTGAGTGGTCCCTTTGCAATGTCAGGGGAAATCTAAATGAAATGAAAACCCTCATTACTTGGTATCTCAGAGCTAGAAAGTCCTCAGTCTCTCCTACCTGCCCAGGACCTGAAGTGGAACATTTTAAACCATTACCTGGTAAAGAAGAGGCAGTTCTGCCTCCCCTTCCACTATCCCAATCCCTCCCCCTGGAGATTTCTGGAATTCAGGGGAAGGGGGAGATGCCCCAGGAACTTGTTTCCTCTTTCATGTGTCCATCCTTCTTACCATTAAGGTCAGCACTTCAGAATCCAAGATAATAGGTAGCTCTCCATGGGCTCAACAACACAAGGCTTCAGGGAACTAAAAAGTGACTCTTCCATGGAATTATTAGGGAACCCTGATGAGCCCTCACCCCCATTTACAAACTGAAAACCTGAGGTTCTGAAAGGTTAAGCCGCATGGCTCCTGTATAAGTAGAACATAGAAGGACAATTCCCAAACTACAGACACTTGAGCTTGGCCTTCATGAATTTTGCTGTATCTGAGTACCACTCTATTGTTATTTGCTTGATATTTCTAAAATACATGAAATGTAACATTAAAGCTTTTAAATTATTGATTTTAATTTTAAAAATTGACTCCCTTTTTTGTACTTAAATAAATTTAGAGAGAAGATCTATTACTACAATAAGGAGCTAGTTTTAAAGATACAACATTAAAATTAACCCATGCACCACCTTATAATCATTTGTAAACCACAAACAGTACATGCATTTCATTTTGGGCAACTCCTGGCAAGGTTTTGACATCAGACAAGACTTGGGTTCAGTTCAAACTTGACCTATTTCCACCTCTGTGATCTTGGGCAAACTATTTAACCTCTTAACTTCAATTTTCTCATCTACAAAATGGGGGCAGTAATAAATCTATCTCAGACTAGTGTTAAGATAAAATAATGCATTTAAAGAATTAAGCATTGTGCCCATCTTAGAATGAGCACTTAGTAAATAGAACTATTATAACTGTAATTCTAAAAGTTGTTATTTATAAGTAAATGGTAGAAGAGCTGGAACTAGAATTTAAGAATCAAGTCTCTAGGTGCTGTGTTTCTTTCACTACATCCAGCCAGGCCAAAATATCTGCTACCTCACATCTACACCTTCATTCAGTGAAGCTATACATGCATCTGTCCTCAGTTCTCTTCTGTTCACAGCTAAGTCTTCTGTGTGGTCTAAGCAGCACATAGTTTTTATGGTACTTGTGGCCATCAGCTGGCTGAGTTATCCTGCTGATGTTAAATTAACTAAGTCACCAGGTAGGGATGTTTGCCCTGCGTAAGGTGCTGGGTGGGAAAGGCTGTTGTTAAGATAGCCCGCTCAGTGTGGCTGAGAGTTTCATCATTCTCCAAACTGGGGGGAAGGGCAGGTGGAAGGGGAGGCAGGAGTCTGCTGGTTTTTCTCTGAAATGATTTTTTCAGGTAGGAGATTCGCCAGGATCCTTCCGGCACAGTGGAAGTCCACCCAGCCCATGCAGCGGTGGGGTGCAGCAAAAGGTGGAGCTTTTCCTTGTTTCATGGTGTGGGGGCCTCAGCAGGCGTGCTGTCTGAGAGACAAGTGAGGCCGGCTGAATGCCTCTGGGAGACGGTCCCAGTGCCTTTGCTCATGCCACCTACCTCCTTCACGGCGCTGGTTAGCTCCTCACCGGGGGCGCTGTGGCGCAGGGCTTGGATGTGGTCCAGGAGGCTCTGGGCCTTCTGGATTTCTGCCAGGAGCTGGTCCATATCCCAGCTAGTGTAGATCTGGGGGTGGTGGGAGCAATCAGTCATCTAGAAGGCCCTTGGCTACTGGCAATGGCTAAGGCAGTAAAGGGCAAGCAGCCATGTGAACTCCTAAAGTTGAGTGGCAGGCTGTCTAAACCAGACATTAAAAACTGGGGTCTGTGAGCCACATAAAGTGTGCAAACATGTTGTATTCCACCTCTACATTACTGGCCTGCAGTGCTTTTAAATAATTGAAGGGTTTTCTAACCTTAAAAATGGGAAGAAACACGTTACACCCAGTGGGATGGTTATAAGAATAATTTTTAAAGACGACTGTCACAAGTGCTGACAAGGGCTGGAGAACTGGAGCTCTGTACACTGTTGGTGGGGCTGTAAAATGGTGCAGCTGCCATGGAAAACAACTTGGCAGGTCCTCAAAAAGTTAAATACAGAGGTACCATATGACCCAGCATCTCCACTTCTATATACTCAAAATAATTGAAAATAGGGACTTGGATACTTGTACACCAATATTCATAGCAGCATTATTTGTAATAGCTGAAAGGTGGAAATAACCCAAATGTCCATCAACTGATGAATGGATAAACAAAATGTAGTATGTCTAGAAAATGGAATATTATTCAACAACAAGAAAGAATGAAGTCCTGATACATGCTACAATATGGATGCACCTAAAAAACATTATGCTAACTAAAAGAAGATAGATACAAAGTACATGATTCCATTTATATGAAATATCTAGACTGAGTAAATCCATAGAGACAAAAGCAGATTGGCAGTTGCCAGGGATTGCAGGCCACAGGAAATGGGGAGTGGCTGCTTAATCAGTATAGTTTCCTTTTGGGGTGATGAGAATGTTTTGGAACTAGATAACCGTGGTGGTTGCACAACATTGTGAATGTACTAAATACTTCTGATTGTGCGCTTTACAGTGGATAAATTTATGTTATGTGAATTTCACCATTTTTTTTAAAATTTAAAGAAAGCACACACACACACAAATCTAGATTTCTGGCTCTTCTTGAAAAATCAGAAGACCTGGCCCACCTAGGTCACATTCCTACCAAGCAGCAATGGGCTGTGGCTCAGCAGAGGCACCTCTTTGGATGGGGCATGGGCTCTCTAGCTCACCACAGTCCCCACTACTCTGTTGCCTCCTTCATCAGAGTCAGTTTTAATTTTTTGTCATCCTTGTACTGCTATTTTGCTCATGTTAAAGAAGACTGTAGCCATATCTCCATCCAAAATAGAAAAATAACAGATAAGCCAAGAAGGTTTTAATAAAAAATATTTCCTAAACCAGAGAGTTTCATTAAATTACTGTACCTTCCTACAGCGCAATCAGTCCTCTACAAACAGCATCTGGGCAATGAGGTAACAAGAAGGGAAATGTTGAAAAACAACAAGGAAAATGTTGCCTGACCTTGGATCCCTAATGTGAAATGTTAGACTTTGACCCTGAACATACTTTTGAGATGCAATTATTCATTTATTCACTACTAGTAGTTAGTAGGCAAGACACAGCCTGTTAGTTGAACAGATGATTGGATTCTCAATCTGCCAAATGGATCTACACACAAAGTTGCTAAGTGTTATTTCCATTGTGGACATCAGGTGAGTGGTGATATTATTAACTGGGACAAGGACACTAAGAGATGGATTGGTACAGAATTGATGGCTGCAGGTCCCTGCTGTAGTAGGGATATATCTAGGAGAGAGACCTGAGGAAACTGGTTCAGACTCAGAGCTTTGGTGGGAGCAGAGGTGGGGTGGGGTGTACATTGACAGCAGCTGCAAAGATTTGGGATTCTAGCCACTAGGCTTTAAAAGTCCCCTAGGCTCACTGGGGTGCAATCAGATCCTCAGAGGCACTAGACCAAAGGATCTCTTGTGACTTCATGCTGTCCCTGTTCTTCCCACATATTCATATTAACTTGATTACACTTGTGTAAACTCATTGAGCTTGGGGAGGGGGCAGCAAGTACATAGTATGGTCCCTGGCCCAGATCCCCTGGAGACAATCTTGGAGGCAGGCAAGGAGTGGGAGTGGGGCCACTGCATTGGCTGAAGGGCTTACCTCCATCTCTTGGCTGTAGCAGTGGTAGTAGCCCCCAAGAGCTTCTGCAAGGTTCTTTAGGACAGCCTGTAGGGATGGTGACAGGTCGGCCCTCACTAGGGCAACACAAATAGTCCAACAAGCTTTCTCCTTGACCGAACCTCCCAACTGTCCAAAGCCTACCATCTTACCAAAGGGAGAACTGGGTGCAAGGAGAATCATATCTTGGTCCACAGCTTGGGGGACCTGTCCATGCATGAAGCCTCAAACCTGTCCCAGCTCATTATGGCCAATCCAAGGGACACCTTAGAGAATCTTGGGTACTTACAGGGGGCACCTGATTGTCGCATTTGTAGGTGATGATGTGGGTGATGAGGCCACTTCCCAAGGTGGACTGTTGGATGTAGTGAGACAGGATTTCAGGAGGCTGATCTGGGCTGCAGAGAAGAAAGAAGAAGAGAAACGGGGCACCCCAGGTCAAATTACTTTCTGAGAACATGCCAGAGCAAAATGGCAATTCCCTGAGAACATCTACCAAATTTAACTGACCACCTGTGTAAGATGCAGGGCAGAGTGGGCTGCAGGCCTGGCCTGCCTTGCTGCCCTACCCCAACATCTATGGACAGAAATCCTGTGAACTCAGTCCTTCTCTCAAGCATGTGCACACAGTCACGTTTGATGATCTTTTCTCAAACAATGGCTTGGGTCTCCAGCCCCCTTCATGTGGCCTATTACCTGTTTAGGGAAGGAAACCTACCAGCTTCCCATGATGGTCACCAGTGAAGTCAGCCCCTTGAGAGTGAAGATTTTCCTCAGGGCCTGCAGCAGATTGCTGCCTCCCTCAGGGTGCAGCTTCTTTATCCAGAGCTTGAGTTCCTGTAGGCTGGGGGAGACAGACAATGGCAACCTAACGGTAGTCCTTTCACTCAGTGACAGCCCAGGACAAATACAAGCTCATTCAAGCCAACTATAATTCTCTGAGGTAGATACCTGTATTCCCACTTTATAGATAAGGAAACTGACGCTCAGAGTTAGGATGTGCCTGAGGTGATACGATAAGCACATGGCAACACTGAGATTCCCAACCACATCTGACTCTAGGACTTGAGCTTCTACAGACTCTGCTCTCCAAAGGTCTGCAGCTAAGTTCCCTAGGCCTAGCCCCCAAATGTCCTGGGAGTCAGACCTCAGCCTCAAGCAGAGTCGATCTCCTAACCCTGAAGGGGCTCTAAGAGAAGGCAATGTGGCTGTGTGGCTTAGTTTCACATGGACTGGGACAAACACCATTTGTAAGAGGGAAAATGACTTAACAGAGCTTTCCTGATGCAGCACCTCACATGGTGCTAGTGAGTTATGTTCTTCCCATTTCTCTTTCGGTCTGACTAAACACAAAAAATAACCAAAAAAAACCCCACAATTCAGTTCATTGCTGATAAGTTTGACTATTTGTATTATAACTGTTGAGTCTCCCTTTTAAAGAAAGGGGGAATAAATCCTAGCCCTAGCACCTTCTCTAGCATTGGCCGAGAAGTATCAAGCTGAAATTTAATATCATCCTTCTGTTTGCTTTTGGCGTATTTATTTTTATGGCCATTTTCTAGTTGTGGCAAGTGATACGGGCTTCTCAGTTATGGTACTGATGGAGAGTTTCCTCAATAATAAATATAGTGTTGGTATTTTTAAAATTAATGACAATACTACATGTGGCAGAGCTATGACAAAATCACAAGGGAATTCCAGGAATGACTCAAATTAATGAAATTTTGCCTAGATGATCTCAAGTGACTTTCAGGTCTAACATCATGGAGATTAGGATCTAATTAGGATGGAAATCACAGTAAAAAATTATGTCACTCACTGAGTACCTGCCACATGCCAGCTTCTTATCTTTCATTTCATCTTCACAAGAACTCAGTGAGGGGTAAGTATGCTCTCCTCATTCTAATCAGAGAGTTAAAGGGCTGGTCAAGGTCACTCAGTACCATTGGGGCTGGGATTCAAAGCCAATGATGCCAGAACCAGGCACTTCTTTACCCAGAAGTGTCCCTCTTTACACTTTCTGGCTAGTGCCGGGCAAGGGACCTCCATCCCAGAAATCCAAGCATGCAGGTTTTCCCGGAATCTGCTTTGGAATTTAATCCTGGGTCTGCCACTTTGGGCATTTTTCCGAACCTGAGTCACAGTTTCTTTACCTGAAAGATGGGGATCATAATCCTATTCCAGTGTTAGCTATAAATATTATATAAGATAGTACATGTGAAGTACCTCACATAGTAACTAAGGCATGGTGGGGGATCAAAGATATTTCCTTCATGGAAAAATTTCTAGCTACTGGCGTAATTAAGTTGAAATTCTTACATATCTTCCCTCTCTCCCTGCATCCCCCCAAAATGCCAAGCTCTCCCAAATAAAGGACTGAACTATAGTACATTTATTCAGTGGGGTACACTGTATAGCCATTTAAAAAATGAAGTAGATCTGTGTGTGCTGAGAAAGACTCATGTTCAAGATTCGATGCAGAGCCAAGGAGCAGAATAGTGTTAATGTGCTCCTGTTTATGTTTAAATGAAGGAGAATAAACACACAGATGCATGTATATGACAGACAGATTGAGGAAATAGAAGAAACTGCTACTGGGAGAGTGAGGTTCACTTACTATTATTTAACCTTTTTTACTGTTTGAATTTTTGAAAATGAGCATGTTTTGTTTTCATAATAATAAAATTATCTTTGCTAGTTTGCTGGATAAACACGGTGTCTTGTGGTTGCCTTGATTTTTCATTCTGTGGGTTGCTCATGAGGGTGACCACTTTGCGAAGTCATCAGCTTCCCGTGTTTCTACTTTTGTGATTGTCTCTTTGTACTCACCTGCTGGGGTCTAGGGTTTGCACTTTAGTCATTCAAGAAAGACACTAACACTTAGGAGGTAAATGAACAAGTAAACATCCTGGCTGGGGCTAGGGAGTCACTCACGTGGACGCACTGACTTTCACAGGGTCTGGCCAAAGGGTGCTGGTGGTGGTGCCGAAGGACAGGACATACAGCTTCTCCTTGTGGCTCAGCTGCTCATCAATTAGGCTCTGCAGACAAAGGGACCTCACTGGCTTCCAGAGCCAAGGGCCACATGGAGCCTGGCTCTACCTACTGTGCTGTGGTTGGCCCCTCTGGGCTGGAGTGTGAGCTGGGCTGAAATGGGGTCACTTGAGGCTCAGCTTAGTGGCCCCGAGCTGACTTATGCTTTCTGCCCAGTGGGTCTCATGGGGGTATGGGATGAGCACCCTGACTGCCCATCCCAGCCTGTGTGCATGGTGGGGACAGGACATGGGCCTTCAGCCTGTGGACTGGCAGACCACCCTGGGAGGTTGTCCTCACTGCCACTGCGGGCAGATGGTGCTTTCTTAGGGCTGCTGCATGCCTGGGTCATGGGGTGTAGGTGGGATGAGCATCTTGGCTAGCGGTCTCAGCATGTGCTGTGGTTGGACCTTTAACTGTGGCACCCAGGGAGGGAGACAGAGGTTGGGGGCAGTGCTTTCTCTACAAAGCACGTGAATTGCTTATAATGCAGTGGGCACAGTGCCAGCCTATCTGATGCTGTCAAGCTGTGGCTGGTAAATATCCAACAGTGAGATAACTCCTCCCTCTTCCTGGCTAGCTAGAAATTTCATCTGTATTTCACCAACATGAGCCTGTCCTGGCTAATATTAGACCAACCCACCTGGGGATCTTTAGAAACTCAGCCCTGAGCACTTGTCATGAAGGGGTGGTACTGTTTCCTGACACCTGCTGAGACTGGGAACAAGGGACAAGTCTGGATGACTGGCTCATCGTAAGCCCTAGAAAGACTATGCTGCTACTATGGTTCCCATCCAAAGTTCCAGGGGTTCCCATAAGAATATAGCCCCTTCCCATTATTTCACAGAGAATACAGGGTTTTTTCATGCCACACTTTGTACCAAGCACTTAACTTGCATGAACTCCTTTCTTCTTATGGTAATCCTGTGAGGTGGCCACTGTTATCATCCCCATTGTACAGATGAGGAAACAAGGGCACAGAGAAATTATGTAACAGGGTCACAGAGCCCAGAAATGGTAGAAGTGGCTGGGATTTGACCTCAGTTGTTTGCCTCTAGAGTTCTTAGCTTCTCTTTTATGGATATGCCAAAGAAACCAGAATAGCCATCCTGTCCAGAAAAGTCCAGGAAGCCTGTGCTATGCTATGCTGGAGTCAGTGCAACTGATTACCACCTTTGTGTCCTCTTCCCAGGGAACTGAGCTCTTGTGGAAAAGTCTAGGTAGTAGGGACTGCTGTGGTGAGAATACTAGAAGCTCACACCACAATGGAAAATGACTCCATGTTTGGGTTTTACAGAACACAACCTATTTCTTAAACTGTAGGTGCTAATTAAGTGTGAACTGCTCTTTGTAAAACACCCCATTTTGCATTTGCTATAAACAAAGCTGGTTAGCAAGCTAACAAAGGGGAGGGTGGCTCCAGGTACTTCTCTGTGCCAGAGGCTTACCATGAGGTCATTTTGGAACTCCTCTTTCTGAGGGCCACTGCTGACCGCTGACACATCAATAAGGATACCAACTCTGGTCCCTCTGATGAGGCCAAATGCCTAAAACCAAAGAGGGCATTTGAAAATAATCAGTACAGCTCTGTACTTCTCTTAAGCCTTTCACAGAGCAGCTCCCAGGAGTTGGAGCACCACCACTGCCCCCCTGACCCCCACCATTATCCCCCACTCCACCCTAACCTCCACAAGAAGTGACAGAAGGAAGGCCCATTTTATAGAGAAAAAAGCCAAACCTGATGTCCTGACTTTAGCATCATCTGCTCCTATCTTGTGGTAGCCTATTCTTTACAAGTTTTTTTCTTAATATTTACTGCCCTCTCTTATAAAGTAATGCACATTCATTAAAAAATTTTGAAGATTGTAGAAAATCATCCTTTATAAGATAAAAAGGTTGATCTCTAATTATACCAGCTTATTTCATTTCTCTGTATCCTTATCTATTTTCTGCCTACTATATGAACTGAAGGCAGATGTGTCGAGCTCACCGGCTGCCATGGTATTTCTGCGAATTTCTAATTATATTTCCAACAGGTGCTGCATCCTATGTGCCAATACTATGTGGCTCTGCACATGGCTGCTAGTCCTATTACAGCAGCATTGTGCGTTGGGACTTTTATTGATAAGGAACTGGTAGTTCTCCAGAGGCAGTAGGTTCCATTTGATGCTTTCTGCCTTAAATCTGACTACTGGACACCTAATTTCCCTGTTCAGTTCACTTTTCTGCTCTGAGATGAGTATTTTACCTCTTGCCCACTTCTAACATTCCCTTTCTACGTTCTCTCAGCAAGTGACTTTGAGTCCAACTACACTAAGAAAACAGAAACAAACCAGAGTTTTGATCTTTCCACCCAGAATCTACTGACCGCCCATTTCCCATCACAATGTGTCTAACCCCAACTATCCAAGGAAGCTCTAAGGCCAGTCCTTTGGCTATATTACTGGCTCTTCTCTTGCCAAATAGGGCCTTTGCTACTATAACTGTCACTTCTTCTGGATCACCAATTCCGCCCTGTTTTTGTGATTTCCATCACTGTATAAATAGGCTTTATTACTGCCCATCTTAAAAAGGAGAGAAACCCGTCAGATACCCACCTCTCCCTTCTGCTACCACTTCATTTCTCAACTTTCCACATGAGCAATGCTTCCTTACCTTCCAATTCTCTGTGACCCCCTCAAATTAGGCTCTCACCTCCCTACTCCCCTGACACCACACTTGTCAAGGTGATCGATCAGTGACCTCGCTCTTGGCAAATTCAATGGTCAAATCTAAATTCTCAACTTTTTTGATCTCTGAGTAAATATTACACTGTTTGGCTGTGTCAAGAATTTGACAAGTTTATGCACTTAATAAATATGCTATATTTCAGAACACCATGTTTGCCTGCTTTTCCTTGCTCTCACTGGCCAGTCCTTCTCACCACCCTCCTCCTCTTGAAGTCTAACTGAGACAGGGCAGAAACAGGGACAAGCATCATGATTAATTTTCCTAAAAATGCTGAGATATAAATGGCATAGTAAGAACAGGAGGGACTCCATCTTAAGGCCAAGATTCCATTCCAAAAGCAGGGAGTTAGGAGGTAAGATTCCTAACATATTCTTTGGCAATTAGACAATAACCCACCCTATCTTAAGGCAAGGCATGCAGTCTTAATATGTTCCCAGTGCTTGAGGGAAACCACTATCTTGGAGAGGAACTGGATCAATAAATTCCTTGTGTTAATTTTTTCTTACAAAATTATCTAGAAGAACTGACTGTAGATAGTAATAATATCTCTCACCAGAGAGAGACATAATGAGACCACAAGTCAAGCCTATGCCCAACAACCCCCACCCTACCCTTGCCCCATTCTTGAAAGCCTTAAAAGACAGAATCCTAAGCCCTTAAGGGTACTCCTCTCTGAGGTTGCCTGCATTCCTCTTTTTTCAAGTGTGTACTTTTTGCCTTAAAAAATTCTCACTGCTCAACTTACTGCATTTTGTCTCTGTGCTCTTCCAGTGGTAAGCATCTCTGCTACTTTGCCATTTCATTCTATTTCCTAGACTTTAGCACAAGTCTTCACTCTCTCTGTCCTACTTCAGCTTCCTTGCTCTCTGCTGCCTGCAAGGCAGCTACCATTCCCTGTTACTCTCACTTTAATGAATTCCTTCCCTACCTACACTCCTCTGACCTGCTCGAGAATTCTTTCTTGATCAGAGTCAATAACCCTCTCCTTTCCAGGTTGAAGTTTCCCCTGGTGCGCAGGGAGAGACCTCCCCAGATGTAGCTGTCTGACAATGTAACTACTGGAATGCCCTGGGAACTTGTTCCTGAAGATGTTGGCCATGGACCAAGCAGTGTCAGTGCCTGGGAGCTTGTTAGGTGCAGAATCTCAGGCTCCATCCCAGATTTGCCTAATCAGAGTCTGCATTTTCACTAGATTCCTCCACCACCACCCCTAGGGGATTTGGCTGTATGTTATGGTTTGACAACCACTGGACTGGGGTTCCGTCTTCCTCTGTCTTCTGTATCTACGCCAGGGTTCGTCACTCTCAGTCTGTACTATTGACATTTTGAGCTGATGGTTCTCTATTGTGGTGAGTGCCAGTGCACAGTAAGATGTTTAGCAGCTTCCTTGGCAACCCCTCTTCCTAGTCATAACAACTGAAAATGTGTCCAGACAATGCCAAATGTCCCTGGGGTTTAAATGGCTCTGGTTGAGAACCGCTGCCAGGCACTTGGTCTCACTGCCAGGCACTGAGGCTCAGGGCTTAATATATCTGCATGCTGATAATAATCCAAGGTCCATCTGCAGGCAGAGCTGTCCTGCAGCTCCAGATGTGCATTCAACGACCTGCTCCACATCTGTCTGGACATCTAGTAAGTCCCTCTGACTTCATATGTCCAAAACAAGACCCCCTGATTTTCCTCTTTAAACCTGTTCTTCACTCAGTCTTCCCCACCTCAGTAAATGGCATTTAACATTTACCCAGGTATTCCAGCCCCAAACCTATCCAATCCACCAGCAAGACCTTCTGGTTCTATCTTCAAACCATGCCCTGAATCCACCATTTCTCATCCCATCCATCCAAGCATGAGTCTAACCTACCGTCATTCTTACCTAGTCTTATAGTCAATTTATGAAGCAGACAGAGTGATCTTTTTGAAACAAGTCAGACCATGTCACTCCCCTGATTAAAACCCTCACCTGTGGCATAAAATCTGAACTCTGCAAGGCCTCCCTGATCTGCCTCTAACATCATCTTCTCTGCTTTCCACACGGCTCACTCTGTGCTTGCTATACTGGTCTGCTTGCTGCTTCTGGAACACACCAGACTTGTTCCTGCCTCAGGGCCTTTGCATTTTCTGTCTCCTCTGTCTGGACTATCCACCCTTAGATCCCTCTGTGGCTTCCTCTCCAACTTCCTTCAGGCGTCTGTCCAAATGTCTCTTTGCCCATTCTGCTTAAATAGCCCCCCTTTTGATATCCCACTCTCCATTCCCCTACTCTATTTTATTTTTCCTT